ATGCGTGTACGACTGTGGTGCAGCAGCGAGGGAAGGGCAGCTTATCATTTCTCTAAGAACCCTGAGACTTTCCTTAGTCCTCAGTCCCTGGTGTTTCAAGGGAGACCCTTAATAATAAAAATGTATGCGCTAAGGCCCTGAACGCCACCTCTCCTGGAATGTGAAGCTCCGCCTTCATCTCAGTTATGGAGAAGGGTACTTCCATTGTCTTCTCAACATCAACCTTGCAGAAAAAAATGTGACCCTTGCCACAGGAACAAGAGCTGCCATTCTCCCAACTGCCAAACATCAACTCCCACTGCATTATGAAATGGGTCTCATTAGCCTCATGATCTCATTAGCCATCACTTTTTCTTAGCCGGGCGAAAATAAGTAATGCTATCAGAAATCCAAGTGCATCAACAACTTCACAAGAAACAGGGCAAGCTGATATAGAAATTAGGTAAAATAAACAACTGTTGAATAAAATTATCAAAAGATAAGCAATAAATAATTCATCCTCTGTTAACTGTATTAACACACTACCAATTAATTCTAATCACTTATTTCCCCTTGGAAGCCTGGATGGTCAAATATAAATTTATGTCACCCAGGTCACCACTACCATAGTAATGATCATCCATTATGGAAAGTTATTGCACCATTGGAAACAGCATCTAAAATGTGAAAAATTCTGTAATCTGCCAATTTGTTACTCATTACAACCTTCAGCAGAAAGACACAAATAATTTAACAATAAATAAATTCTGCAATAGGTTAAAGTCCTACTATGCATGAGCAAAGAATTATTAAATCTTTACCTCTATTGTATTTTTATCTTACATTATAAATCAGCTCATCTTACTGATTTTAAGACCACCAAAAAACAACCACAAACCCTGCCTCAATTCTGTTCACTTACCAAGCTACCTTAACTGGCAAAGACACTTTTGTTACCATACTTCTGAAACAACTGATTACACTTACATCCTCTACTCTAATTTCATTCAACTAACATTTTAATTGCTGCAATTTTGTTTCACTCCCAACATCTCACAGAAATGGGTTTTTGAAAGCAATTATCAGCATCTCGGTTGGCATATCCTTTGGGTGGCCTTATCTTAGTCTTCAGTCTTCTGAGTATCTCTGCAGGTCCTGTGACACTTCTTTATTCCTTCCTACCTCTCTGACTTTTAATTGTGCTTCTCTTCTACCCCTTTAAATAGGACTCCCATAACTATCTTTAAACTTGGTAAGTACATCAATATAATGTGATGCCTGTTTTTACATAAGCCAACATTCTATCTCTCCTTTTAATATTTTAATCTAAATAGTTTATTATCACATTCCTTGCTAAGAAAGAAATTATAGGGCCATTTTAATTCAATATCATGCCTTCTCCTATGGAACTTTTCATTTTAATTGATTCAAAGCAACCAGAGAATTTAAAATGTTACAAATAGGAACAATTCTAATCAGACACTAAATTAAGTTTGCACCTTTCACTAGGAGGAACTTGTTTCAATATACACACCCTGCAAAATTACATTTTATATTGAATATTCAGGCAGGATATTAAGATTACATAGAGATGGAACATTATGAAATTGCCAATATAAAATAAAAATGGTAATTTCACATTTCAATCAAATATGTTCATTTTAATCATGGAAATAGAGATCTCAATGAAATCAAATTTGATAACTATGAATTCAGTTCCTGGGGTTTCCTAAATGAAGTTTAATGCTTCAACTCTTTACAACAATATGCAAATTCCTAGATTTGGTCACATTAGCAGCAACTCCATAACAAAATTAGCATCTGGACACTTTTGTTCTCTACATGTGTGCAACTGTACTGGTGACTTTAAAATGTCCAGAAATAATAAACCAAAGAACTCAATGCTTCATAAAACAATCTTGAACAAAGTACTGTAGACTATTTTGCCCTCAACTAAGGCACCTAAGTGTACTGTACAATCAGGCGTACAACTGCAGTATTCAAACACTTGGTAGCCTTCCTCCAAAACTACGCTGGGTATGATTCAAGCTAATTCTTAATATTTATGTGAAGCATCAATGTCAATCCATATATTAATAAGTCTGCACATAAGTTGTAATGATGTTTGATCATGCCCACCATAGTGATTTGGAACAATAGTCAAATAAACTGGAACTTTTTGGATTCAAATTTCACAGCATTCATGACTGTAATTGTTTGTCAAACATACCATGGGATAATAAGAGGACTGTGAAAATTTTCTCATACTATGATTACAAAAAAAAGATTTTAGTGTCTGGAATCTTTTTTCCCCATCTTCAATGAAACATAATTGACATATAACATTGTAAGTTTAAGATGCACACTTGATGCACTTATATACTGCAAAATGATTGTCACCAGAGCCTATGTTACCTTGTTTTTCATGTTCCTTTAAGTTTGGCCTTGCTGTCATTGCATTTGAAGTAGCAGTCATCTCCTCCAGTCTTTACTAGCTGTCTATGGAGGAGTGATAACTTCCGTCGGTCCTGCTAGAGACTGAGGTTATTTCAGACATTCCACAGGTATACACACACCTACTCCACACTTCTTGCTACCTCATGTAGCAAAACTTTTAAGCTTGTATGCCTTCTCTGGTACTGCAATGCACCAGGTGGAGTGATAAAAGCCTCTCTTCTGTTTTTCCAAAGGTGGCACTAAAGCAAGTTTGTGGACTTTCCCTGGCCTACAGATTCAGCCAGCTTTCTGCATGTGCTTGCTAGCTATCTAGGAAAGCTCATTCACTGCTGCCATCGGAAATATGCAATGCAAGCTGGCCACAGGTCAGGGGTGTGTGAGTGAGGAACCTGGAGTGCTGGGGGCTGCCCATGAGCCAGCTGCGGGGAGGATCCATGGGTGATGCATTCCCAGCAGCTGTGGATGGGCTCCTTGACAGACTCCGCAATGTTAGTAGGATCACGTCCCTTTAATACTCTCCAAGAGAGTATTCAATAAATGGTGTTAGAAGAATTTGTGTAAAAAAATGAAATTAAACCATCTTCTTACACCATACACAAGAATAAACTGAAAATGGATTAAAGACTTAAATTTAAGTCCCAAAACATAAAAATTCTAGAAGAAAACATAGCCAATAAAATCTCAGACATTTCCCATAGCAATATTTTTTCTGATATATCTCCTTGGGCGAGGGGAAAAAAAGGAAAAATAAACAAATGGACTACATCAAACTAAAGTTTTTGCACAGCAAAGGAAACCATCAACAAATGAAAAGGCAACCCACTGAATGGGAGAACATATTCACCAATGATACATCTGATAAGGGGTTAATATCCAAAATTTACAAAGAACTCATACAACTCAACACCAAAAAACCACCAAAAAAAAAATCCAATTAAAAAATAGGCAAAGGACCTGAATAGCCACTTCTCCAAAGAGGACATACAGATGGCCAAGAGACATGAAAAGATGCTCAACCTCACTAATCATCAGAGAAACGCAAATTAAAACCACAATGGATATCACCTCACACCTGCCTGATTCAGAATGGCTACCATCAATGAATGAACAAACAAGTGCTGGCGAGGGTGTGGAGAAAGGGAACCTCATGCACTGTTGGTGGGAATGTAAATTGGTACAGCCACTGTGGAAACATTACAGAGTTTCCTCAAAAAATTAAAATGAAACTGCCTTACAACCCAATAATTCCACTTCTGGGTATATATCCGAAGAAATCCAAAACACTAATTCAAAAGAACATATGCACCCCTATGTTCACTGTGGTTTTATTTACAACAGCCAAGATTCAGAAGCAGCCCAAGTGCCCATCAGTAGATGAGTAGATAAAAAAGCCTGGTACATTTACACAATGGAATAATGCTCGGCTGTAATAAAGGAAATTTTACCGTTTGTGACAGCATGGATGGACCTGGACAGTATTACGCTAAGTGAAATAAGCTAGTCATAGAAAGACAAATACCATATTGTTTCACTTATTATGTGGAATCTAATGAACAAAATACACTAACAGAACAGAAATAGAAACAGATTCAGAAACAGAGAACTGACCAACAGCTATCAGAGGGAGGGGGTTGGAGGGTTAGGTGAAAAAGGTGAAGGGATGAAGCAAAAAACCCCAAAAAAACGAAAACAAAAACAAAGCCCATGGGCACAGACAACAGGATGGTGATTACAAGAGGGAAAGGGGGATGGAGGGAAGGAGGAGAGGGCAAAAGGGGGGTAAATGGGGACAGAAGGAGACCTGACTTTGGATGGTGAACACACAAGATACAGGTGATATATTATAGAATTGTACACTTGAAACCTATATTATGTTTTTAACCAATGTCACCCCAGAAATTCAATAAAAATTTTAAAAAATAAACACCAGGTTTTTTTAAACAGAAAATATTGAATCTCTATTATAAACAAAGAGCTTTTTCCGTCCTCTACTAAACACTCAAGGAAAAATGACAAGCCTAGGATTAGCATTCAACATTTAAATAACATGTGTCTTTGCAATATGTTATGAGCTCCCAGATGAAGAAGCACAAAAAGAGTCACCAGACATACAGCACACAGCCGCATCACTTCTAAATGATGCGGAAGCCAAGATTTATTCGAGGAGGAAAGTAAGTAACCTAGCGACTTTCCTCTCTTCTACGTCTGTAATCTCCTTTATGCTTCTCTTTCAATATGAAAGTCAATGGAAGGTAAATTTTTAGCAGAAAAAAAAAGTAATATTATCCAATACAGGTAAATATAAATTTACAGCAACTACCTGAAAATTTTGCTTTTAAATAGGCAATACATAAGCAAAAATAATTTAAAATAAAAGACAAAATAAACAAAAACAACATTCTTTTTTTTTTTTTTTTTTTGGAAAAACACTATATATGCTATAGACTAACCACCACAATTTTGTATTAAATATTGTAAAGGTCTCCTATATTCTGATGTGTTTTTTTTTAATTTTTAAAAGTTGTCATTCATTAAATATATTTTTCTAAAGGAATACTCCAATATTTTGCATTTCAAATATTTTAATAGTTTTATTTGGCAAAGAGAAGCCTAAGAATTCTTTAAAAAACATTTCCAGAGGGAAAACCCTTTACCATAAAATAAATTTGTGTGATTTGGGAAGACAAATCTCAGATGTATACTTTTTGACATATGTGCCAATCTTACAATTAATACAAAAAAGATAAAGTTAGTTGAAATATTTTAAAAATGTAAAAACCATTGCAGGCAACATAACTATACAATCTTGCTGTAAAAGTACTTATATCAAATTCTGCCCAAAATATTTATGCAATATAGTAAATTTAGTTCCTCGTCACCCTTCACTGCCGGCTGGCTTTTCCATTTTCTGTTGTCTCCATTCTGAAAAACAGGAGGAAAAAAATGAGTAGGTAAAACAAAGCATTAACTATCCAGATATTTTTCCTCCTTACGTAATTTTCATATGAAATTAAACTCTAATATACTCATCAAGCAGAAGAATATCAGCACTTTAGGAAAGAACTAAGGTTAGGCTTCCTCTACTGCAAGGGGGGGGGCGCCCTTCTCCTGCCAAGAGCCATTTAGATATTTATAATATCATTTGCGGGCTATACCAAATTATCAACTTAAAAATTAGCTATGAAAAAAGTTCCTAGATTTATCGAATTTTGAGTCCCGCCTTCAGCTGCCCTGGCAGAGCCAGACCAAACGATTTCGGGCCAGACGCTCCCCATCTGCTCTACTTAAGCCTAACTTCCTCATCTTGTAGAATAATGAAAATTGAGGCCCAGAGAGATTGTCTTTCCCAAGGTTTCCTTTCAAAGGCCGCTTTTTTCACTATACTTCCACAAGCAAAACTAAGAAGAAAAACTTCTGACATTCAGTCAAAGATTTATTTCCTTTTTCACTAAAGAAGTTCTTTTACCAACACATTATTGATAGGTCTTCTAAAAAGAGAGATTAAAGTAATCAAACCTGAGATTTATTCAACTGAAGTAAATATTCCTAATATTGTATTACTTGATCAGAAAATAGTTTTCCTCCATTATTTTATAGAGTCAGTGCTACATACTAAGTTTTCTCTATGATTTTTCCCACTATAATGTTTACTGAGCAATGAAAACAACTGCTCTCAGAAGTAAATACTTTCAGAGTTACAATCACTATAATCATGTCCTTTACAAGTACTAAGAATCAAAGAAAGTAGCTTTTTTTTCTTTATAGGTAATACGTATCAATTCACATTAGTAATAAAAATTGCTGAACATAAGCAGTGTTCATTATATTTTAACTTATTATAAGGCAATTAGCAAAACTAATTTCTACAATAAATAATACAAACCCATTTTCTTCTTTAAGATGTTGATATAACTCAGCTCTATTATTAACAGAGTTCAAACGTCCCGCAAACTCCTGATGTTTTCTAGAGTTGGCAGTATTGATTCTATTACTCCACAAGGTTAACAAGGACACTGGCCCTGGTGTTATAGTTGAAAGAAGAGAAATATACAAATTTTAAAAATGCACCTTTAATTCTATTGTTTTATATAACTAAAGCGATATCAGCTTCCCCTAATTGGGGGTCCTCAAGCCACCTACTACTTTGGTGATTTGCTGGAAGAACCCAAATGACTATATACAAAGTTAAAGTCACAGCAAAGAGTCATTATGGCAACACAGTAAGGATGTACAGCCAGATCAGTAAGGCAAGACTAGAGGAATCTATTTGCTCGCTTTCTACGCTCTCTTCCTCCAGTGAGGGTCCACACAGAGTGACTTCTCCCAACAGCAGCAAAAATGCAGCCACGTATGTATAATATTTCTGCCAGGAAAGCCCATTGGAGACTTAGAGTTGAAGGTTTTTATTGGCTGCTGGTCCCAAAGGCCTTCTCTGCCCAACTACAACTACTAAAATTCCAGAGTCCCAGAAGGAAAGCAGGTGGTTCAGTTGAGATGAAAGACAAAATAACTTCATCACTTAGGGAATGTTTTAAAAGCCAAGTCCTGCCCCCGTCCCTCTGCAAAAAAATAAAAATAAAAGCCAAGTCCCCAGATGCCAGCTAAAGGCCAAATTTGCAAGCAGGCTCTTCTAATGTTAATAGTGGCAGGCATGCTATGATAACTCTTTTCTGCACAACATGAAAAGGCAAAAGGGCTAGAATAGCCAAAACTACTTTGAAAAGTAGAAAAAAGACAACTCACTATCTGATTTTAAGACTACTTGTAGTGATAAGGAATAGTATTGTAGTGGCAAAGGACAGGCACATAGACCAATGGAACATAAAAGAAAACCCAGAAAGAGATACCCACATATAAAATCAATTGACTTAGAGATAAAGGTACAAAGGCAATTCAATGAAGAGGAGATAGTCTTTTCAACAAATGCTGCTGGAGCAATTAGGATGTTAGTGCAAAAATATGAACACTGACCCATACTTTGCAACTTATTTAAAATAAAACTCAAAATGGATCATAGCCTAACTGTAAAATCTAAAATTATAGAACTCCTAATACATTAAAAAAACCTTTGTGATGGGTAATGCACAGATTTCTTACATATAACACAAAAAGCATAATCATAAAAAAATGATATCTTAGACTTCATCAAAATTAGAAACGCCCAGCCAGGAGTGGCTCAGCAGTTGAGCATCAACCTAGGATCCAGGAGGTCGAGGTTCAATTCCTGGTCAGGGCACATGCCCAGGTTGTGGGCTTGATCCCCAGTTGGGGATGTGCAGGAGGTAGCCGATCAATGACTCTCTCATCATTGATGTTTCTATCTCTCTCTCCCTCTCCCTTCCTTTCTCTGAAATCAATAAAGACATACAAAAAAATTAATTAAAAAAAAATTAGAAACTAGTGTTCTGTAAAGGTTATTGTTAGGAGGCAAAGCCATAGAGTAGGAAAAAATATCTGTAAATCATATATCCAACAAAGGCTTTGTATCCAGAATAAATTCTAAAAATTCTCAAAATTCAACAATAAAAAAAACAGCCCAATTAAAAATAATCAAAATATCTGAATGAATCCTTCATCAAAGAAGACATACAGATGGTAAATAAGCAAATGAAAAGAGGCTTACCATCATTAGTCAGGAGAGAAATATAAAATAAAACCACAATGAAATACTACTACATACCTATTAGAAGAGCAAAAAGCAGTTCATTAGATAAAACTTAGAAAATGAAACATAAAGGAGGAAATACAATTATCCATAATACCACTGCCCTAACAACTATAAACATTTTAGTCTTTTTTCAATGTCAATCTATATCAATAAGATTACATTTTAGTTTTTCTGTTACTGCATCATATAGAGAAAGCTTTATAGATTTTCTCCAAATCTATCCAGAGTTCATGTTTTGAATAGCCCAACTTTACATGAAGAGCATACAGCAGGCACACTATTCAATTTGGAGAGTCCTAGGAGGTCATTTTCCAAAGCAGATGAAACTGAGGTTTAATAAAAGGCCCATGTAAGTTGCCAATAAGAAGAGACACGCAACTTAGGTTGTAAAAGAGAATGCAAGAAAAAAACAAGTTTCAAGTACCAGCCTTGAATAGAAAGATTTTAGGTCAGTGATTCGTAATCAAGTTGCTTCTCATATGGGGCCCTCTATACAATGTTTTCAGGGTGAAAGACATCAGGGACTTATTTAATTATAAGTGATAAACTAGTATATATGTGTATAAAAACTTTTTTTTAATTAAAAAAATTTATTGATTGATTTTTTTGAGAGAGAGAGGAAAGAGAAACACATTGATTTGTTGTTCCACTTATTTATGCATCATTGGTTGACTCCTGTATGTACCCTGGCTGGGAATTGAACCCTCAACCTTGGCATATCCAGACAATGCTTTAACCAGCTGAACTACTTAGCTGGGGCACAAACTTATTAAGAGTAAAAAAAAAAAAAACAAAACTGGAAAAATGGGTTAAAAGCATAAACAAGCAGTTGACTAAGAAGAATAGAAATAAACAAAAAACAAAACTGAAATGTACTAGTTATTTAAACACACAAATTAAGACTATCAATATTAGCCCCTTATTAGAGCTGTTGTATAAATATCTTCTCCATTCGGTTAGTTACCTTTTTGTTTTGTTGGTGGTTTCTTTTGCTTNAGGACATGCTTAGAGGGAGGGAGGGGAAGAGAGAAGGAGAGAGAGACAGAATCGATTTGTTGTTCCACTCATTCATGCATTCATTGGCTGCTGCTTGTATGTGCCCTAAATGGAGATGGAGTCTGCAACCTTGGTGTATGGGGATAATGTTCTAACCACCTGAGCGACCTGGCCAGGCCTGATAACTTTTTTTTAAAAAACAAAACAAAATGGAGATCATGGTATATATGGTTTTATTCCCTGCATTAAAAAAAACAAAAAAAAACCCCACCCCACTTATATATGATTGGGTTGTAGTAATAGAGCAGTAAATTTTTAAAAGCCCCTGCCTTTCATTTCAAAGTCATAGTAGAGAAAAGATATCAATAAGCAATGTCAATGCAGTACAAAGTGCTATCACGCCAGTAACCCTGGGATGAAACAGAAGCACAGAGAAACACCAGACATCTGTGAAAGGAGGTCAGGGAAATCTCTCCTGAAAAAGGACTTGCTTAACCTGAAGTCTAAATAATATACAGGGTGGGGCAAAAATAGGTTTACAGTTGTTCGTATGGAAAATAATACAATAATTAATAAATAACAATACAAGAATAAATTCTTTCGTGTACTCAAACTGTAAACCTACTTTTGCCCCACCCTGTACATTAGCAAGAGAAAAGTGTGGGCATTTGTGGCAGTAATTATCCTTGGGCTATATAAATTCTACCCTATGGGCACACCATCATTTAGTCATTTTCTTATTAATATGTGTTTTGGTTGCTTACAACTTTTTGCCACTATAAATAATTTTGAGTTCTATTTTCCAAGCAACATTGAAGCATTGTTTAAACCTAAATTTCTCACCCTAATCAATAGTGACATATTTTGGCATGTGAGAAGTAGGATAATTTATCAACACATTTATTTTCTGAACCTCCTGGCAAATGACTGAGAGGCAAATATGATAAGATCACCCTTAGCTCTCATTTCTGGAGAATATTGGCCTGTAGAGCACTATGTATGCTACAGCAGAAGTATATAAAAAATAAGCAAGCCTACCTCTTCCCTAAGATAAGCTGCCAGTAATTGTAATGTGGCCAGCCCTGAGGTCTTATCACCTTAGGAGGGGCATAATGGCAAGAAATCAGACAGTCCTTTGTCATACTATCCCATTTATCCCAAAAGAACTAGATCCAGTTTCCTTCAAGATAACTAAGGCCTGCAATGATTTCAGAAGCTCCCAAACCCAAGTTATATCTTTGATGCTTACAATTCCTTCAAGAGGAAATTAATCATTTCAGCTTATAAATAAGAGCCAAAAGACTTTATAATAAAAAAATATTACTTAAAATACCTTTACTGATACTCATTCACACATTTTAATTTATTAATATATGGGTGATATTAGATCTTTCCCTAAATCCAGTAAGGGTTTAGGGAAATGCATTTGTCTTCAATAACCTAGCAGTTAATATAGTGTCAGGAACATAAACAGATTCAAGTCTACATAATTAAAATTTCTTAAAACATAGACTTTTTAGTACAAGTACTTATTTTCCAAAGGCTTCATTAATGAAGGCATGACACTGCTTTTTCTTTAATACCGACAAATATATTTACTGCCTATATTTTCCAAGGCTATAAACAAAGAATCTCCTAAACAACAACAGGAACAGCTAGCAGCTTTTCCTGATATACACAACAATATTAAATAACACTGTACAAAACAGAACTAAGTTGAAAAGCTTTTTACAACAATAGTTACCACAGTTCTACCATACCTTTTGATTTTTCTACTGGTGGAGTTTCATCCATCTCAACAAGGGGCTTTTTGTTTGGAGGTTCTGGGGAATCAGGCGAATCTTTGATAATTTCAGCTTCAGCCAACTCTTCTTTCCCACGTTCTAAGATGCCTTTTAATCTTTTAGGGGGACAAGTAATAAAATTTAAAGTTTAAATTTTTAGAAATCTAAATGGTTCAATAATTAAACTAGACTTTGCAGATCAGTCTTAATAAAAGACAGCTGCTCTCACAAAGTAAACCTAGAAACGAATTAGAAGCTAAATGTCAATCTAAAATCAGGTAAGAGAACTTAATGAATAGAACACAAGTTTCCCCTTTTCATCATAATAATGTAATAATTCAGTAATGTAGTTAGCTGTAAAATATGAAAAAACTGAGAAAATTTTAAGCTAATATTAAAAAGATGCGATCTCTGGAAGAAATGTCACAATTTTAATTTTTAAGGATATGGACAAAATACTATTTCAAATAACAAAAAAAGATAAAGTAATTTACTATCATTTGTTCCCTAGTTTATGTGCTGTGGATATGTATTTATATTCCACAAGTTAAAAACTTAACTCCAAGCTTATTTTGAATTTCCCAAGGGAACAAAAACACTTTCAAAATATACAGACGTGTACCTGAATAACAGTGGGCTCTGAATGAGAACTTTCCCCCACTCTAATTCTTCTTTTCCCCCCACTCCCCACTTCTTAAAGTGAGCCAATTCTGTTTCAGAAGTTTGGTGGCCCTAAGGAAGAAGTGAACTTCTAAAGTCAAAGAGAAAAAAAATGTTCTATATTCTACTTATTTTTGGATGAAATATGATTTCTAGAATCAGCTTCAAAATATTCCATGCAGAAGTTGGATGGTGGTGGTGAGGAAAGTGGATGTGAATATATGTGAAGTGAAATGTGCTATGAATTGATAATTGTTCAAAGTAGATGATGGGTAAGGGTGGATTCTACAGTAAAATAGATGTTTGAAACTGTTCATAATAAGTTCTGATTTATTTTTAAGGGACTTACTACACTGTCATTATAATATTTACCTGATTCTTTGCCTGATTTCTGTCAAGAAGGCAGAAGATGAAGTCAGCTAATATGCTAATACAGTATGATTCTTTCATTTATAAATCGCAAACTAAGGAAAAAGATGAACTATTGTGGAAGGTTTTCAGAATTAGGACTATGCTTTTCTGCTGTACTCCCAAGGGCATCTGTGCCTATTTTGTAGCAGCATCTTCCACATTATGCTGTAATCACTGACTTACTTGCCTATCTCTACCACAACACTGTATGTTCTTCCAAGGCAGGGATCTTATGCTAAATGCCTGGCACATTACAGGTATTCAATAATATTTACTGAACAAAGAAATAAAACTATGTCTTTGATATTCATAACACATAAAGGAAATACTGACACCAAATGTCCTGAGTTATAATTTCCAGAAGTTAACTAGGATAAAAATTAAACACTATCTTTGCCCCTAACAGTAAAAAAAAAAAATCATACCTCTTTACGCCTAAGATCTTTTAGATTTTAAGAATGATAATCTCAGTTATAACTTGAATAAATACACATTAAATGAACTTCTATTAAATAAAGTTTGAATGTCCTATATGCAGAATGGGGTATGCCAAAAAGCACCACGGCGCTACATTCATATCGACAAGTCACCTCTCTGAATCTTGCCAAGACTTCTCCTGTTCATAATCCCTCACTGCTTTCTCTGACTTGTCCTCCTTGTCCTCCCTCTTTCTTCCTCGTTTCTTCCGTTCTTCTTCTTCGGGGGGTTTGCTCCTACAGGCCATCAGACATTCCAGCACCCTTTGATGTTTCTCCGAGTTATTGATATGGGCTCTCACAAGGGTTTCTAATTCATTCCACATGATACGGTATTGCTCATCTCTGAAGCAAAGATTTAAAATAACAATCTTAGAAATACTCTTTAAATAACATTAAAATGTCATGTGCTACTGGTAAAGTAAAAGGAAATAATTAAACACACACTTCTTTTCCTATAGTTAATAGTACAATTTTAAGTTACAATGTATCCAGTTCTGCTATTCTATATCATTTCATCTCAATCAAATGTATGTATATATACACACCTGTGAACATATAATTTACACATGGAATAAATTAGCTTAAAAAACAGTATGTATCAAGTCAATGTGATATACCGAGAGAAAAAACTACCTTTTAGGGCCTTTTCCTCTTGTACCAACTGTGGAAATAGGTAGAGGATCATTTTTTCTTTCCATATCAACTAAGTTGTATATTGTTTTTTGACAGTTTAACACATCTTCTTCTGTCAAAGATTCTTTCACAATAACACTGGCTAATGGAACTACCTGTTACATTTTTTTAAAAAAGAAAAAGAAAATCTGTCTTGAAAAACAAATATCAAAGCATCTAGGCAGAACTTGAATTGATTTTAAACATCACTGTGGTGAGACAATGTATAACCTTCACTTCAATTTTCTGTTACTAATTATTTAACTGTAGCAAACTCATATATTTCATTCTTTGCTTGAGAAATGGTATCTAAAAAGAATTTATAACTAATCTAGAAGAAAAGTTGAAATTAACACTTACCGCTTGCATGTTAAAAATGGTGGTTTGTGAAATAATCATAGGCCAGTAACGGGTGTGTTTTTCTAACTGATCTTTTGCTCGTTCCAAAGGGATCTCAAGACTTCCATCGATTTTATATCTGGGGTCTAGAAAAGGAGTTAATCTGTTTTCCCTCATAAATTCACCAAAATCCTAATGATAACCAAATAAGATAAAATTAGAAACTATTTTCTAATGTTTCAGTATGGATTACATGCAACAGTCTGTTTCCCTGATGTCTTCTGTCCTGTGATATATAACAAAGCATTTTCTCTAACAGCTCCCCCTCTCCCACCCACTGATTTTTCTTCACTTCTATAATTTAACTCTTTTATATCACATACAGAAAAAACAATTAGTGAATTACATTAGAATACCAATTTGCTTACTAGAAAGCTACCTTGACATAACATTAAAATGTCAACAGTGGTTACCTCTGAATGATGGAATTATAGATGATTTATAGTCTTTCTTTTTCTTTTTAAAAAAGATATCTACATCTCTAAATTTTCTACATAAATATTAGTTTTCTCCTTATTAAAAAAATGTAAAAATAATACAGAAAAGCCCAATCAAAAACAATTACTTACAGTATATAACACTTTGATTTACAAAGTACACTTATATACATCAATCACATTTAATTTCACAACCACCTCAAAAAGAAGACAGTGATGAAATATGAAGTACAAATTAAGGGAGGAGGAGTGAAAAATTAAAATCAGAAGAATATAATTTCTACTAAAAACAGACACAAATTTTCTTGTATGCACCTTTAAAAAACACAAAGATTTAGTGTTACTTCAAAGTAGCAGCAATCTAACTACTGAAATGTTTGTGCTTGCCATTTAAATGACTAGAAATAAAGTTCCACCTAAAATATTAGTTCAAATCAATTTCTATAATTCCAGTATGTCAATGCTATTCAGATACTTCTAAGTATACAATGAATACACAGGAAAGACTACATAGTGATAAATAGCTCTTTTGAGCAAGTACTGAAGGAAATTCACCTAATTAAAATAATCAACTACCCAAACCCCTTTCTGTCACAGATCTTAGCATATAATAGGTACTAATAACTACTTGCTGAATGATGACAGACTCAAATAATAAAATTTATAGATATTAGAGTCTTACTGTAATCCGGTAGTCTGTAACTCTTCCTCCACACCCTTCACTAATTGAAGGTGGATCTTCTAGAATGGATCGAGAACTGCTAAGGACGTGCAAAAATATCTCTCCTCCATGGCTACTAAGCATATGACTGATAACTTTGGAACCTGATTTTCGTGGTTGTTCCAATAAAACAGAACGACCTGTCAAAAGTAATGAAATTCAAATGGGCTCTTATTTTTTCCCTCTAAGGTTTATGTCTAGATTTTTCATTTTATTAACCCTCATATTTTAACCAGCATTGCTAATTTAGTATATCTCTGTTTCAAGTCCAGAAAGTCTGAATTCTAGCCTTAGCTTTCTCTTTGTCACTCCAAGCTTACATAGTTATACAGGTGGTTTTCCAAAATAAATATAGTGGTCTTTAGTATAATGTTTGGTTATAGTCTTCATTCAATTACAAGTTCATATAAAATTTTTCTCCTGGAAATCAGGAAGAAAAATGAGACAACAGTTGGATAACTCTCAAGTTATCAAAGCTATAAAACATTTGGGGAAGAAAAGCCTCAATCCACTTCCACAATACCTACTTATCAGCACTACTATCATTTAACTACTTCCTATTTCACATGACCAAATGTTATTTAATCTGGACTTTACAGTCTGATAATCAAATTGTGCTTAATGTAACTATGAAATTAATCTTATGATAAAGGCTGGATAACTCATCTTATCAGTGGTTCAAAAACCTAGTTGATCAGAAGAATTACCAGAGAAACTACTAGAATTTGGTTTTCTAAAAAATTCTTTCAGGCCCTGGCCAGGTAGCTCAGTTGGTTAGAGCATTGTCCTGATACACCAAGGTTGCAGGTTCAATCCCTGGTCAGGCACATACAAGAATCAACCAGTGAATGCGTAAGTGGAACAACAAATTGATGTTTCTCTTTCTCACGCTCTCTCCCCATTCCTCTCACTCTAAAATCAGTAAATAAAAATTTAAAAAATAAAACTAACTAAATATTTTCACACAGGAAACCACAGATTTAAGGTCATGTGTGTAAGAATAATATAGTATAATATTAAAAATATGTTTATGACAAAGGTATAATATAGTGTTCAAAGAGAAATAAGTCCATATATACTTTGTAATTTAAAATTCAACAGGCCAAGATAAATGGCCTATCTTATACTATCTTAAAAAACAAAACAAAACAAAAACCCATGTAGACTCTAATGTTCAAATTTTTAAATTAAAAATAATAAAAAATGTATTAAATAAAACTTAGATACAATAGCCTAAAAGACATAAAGTCATCTAATTTTTAAACATTAGTAAAACTAGTGAAGGGTATTTACCATTATATAACTTTAAAACAGTTTTGGGAAATAAAACGGTTAAACTATGTTGAAAAAATGGCTTTTCCAAAGTTCACGATTTCACTTGTAATAATCTCAGTCAAAACAATTAAATGATGAAAGTTACCATTTAGAAGAAAATTAGTAAGGCAGGAGGAAGGTCTACTATTTACATCTACAGGTGAAATTCGATAAGCGCCAGTGCAATAGTGTAATTCTGAAACAGAAGAAAACACTGATTTGAAAGAATATAAAGAAATATTTCCACAAAAGAGAAAAAAACTTTACTTGAAGCCATAAAATAATGAAAAACAAAAATTCAAAATGAAGCAAATTAATGTGCCCTTTATAACACTTTAAGAAGCTTTTACAATACCTACCAATGTTATTTGTCCTTGGTGTGCACCATTTTAATGTTATTGTTTCTTTAAATGAGCCTTCTCTACTGCTACCACCTAAATGGGTATCACCTTTAAAAATAAGTCAGAGAAACAGTAACGTTACATTTAAGACCACAAACTTCAAATTGTTTACCCAAGATTTCTAAAAGAGTTTAAATTTTATAAAATATCTCTGGGAGAACCTCATCTTTTTTATGAAGTCTCCTAGAAAAATACCAAATAGAACTTGGATATTAGCAATGATAAAAATAAGTATTTAATTTTCCTCCAAATTTCTCATTAATTTAATCATCTCAGTCACTGGACTGAAAGTCAATAGCAAAATTTTTTTAAATTTCAAGAATCTACAATTGCTCCCCTCAGACACCATTAAATAATAAAATAACATGGCTAAGTACTTAAAGAAAGCTTCAGGAAACTAAAATGCACAACTAATTATATTGAATCCTAATGAATTTCTGAGAAGAAACATAAAATGAGGGATCTAGAAAGTAAATATATAACATATAACAGTAAGCAGCTTTTGCCTGAATGCAGTCTACAGTAAACAGATATTAATAAAATAATAAGGAATAAATGCAAAACTATAATGTTGACAAAGCTCTGAAGGAGATACATTCAGTGCTATGAGGGTCTTTGCAAAGAGATTTGACCTGTGCTGAGACAGCAGGGAAGGTTTCTTTGAGAAGTGAAAACCAGTTTGAGTTCTAATAGGATGAACAGAAATGAACCAAAGAAATGAAAGACAGAGTATTTGGGCAAAGAAAACAACAGATGCCAAGACACTGTGGTGAGAACATGAAGAGTTTCAGGGCTTTGTAAGATATTTAAACAGTTTTGTCTTTATCTTAAGGGCAACTTCTAGAAAAGCATCAGAGGGTTATTTTAAGATAAGGGCAATATGCCATGATTAACACTGTGATTCTAGTTAGCAGGTCAAGTGTAGATAGACATACCATTAAGGAGGCTACTATGGGATACTAGGTAAGAAAATAACTATGGGATACTAGGCTGGGTTATTAATAGGGAGATGGTAATAGTAGTGGAAATGCAGATGTAAATGTGTAAGAGATACTTGGTAGATAAAAATCAAGAAAATGTGATGATATGCTAATACAGAGAACCACGTGAAGACAAAAATACTCATCTACAAACCAAAGAAATCAACGATAGTCACCTTGATCTTGGATTTCTAGCCTCCAGAACAGAAAATAAAATTTCTGTTGCTTAAGCCAAAAAATATAAAAAAGAAAAAAAATGTGATGATACATTAGATATGAAGAATGATAGGAGAGATGTCATAAAAATGATGCTGAGGTTTCTGCCTTATATAATTGGATAAACAACATGGTATTCACTGAAAGAGGGAACATTAGAAAACCAGTTCAGAGGGCAAAGCTCATAAGCTGTTTTGGATATGTTGAGTGTTAGGTGCCTAAGAGACATATAATAGATGTACAGCAGTCCCTTGAATAACGCTGGTTCATTCAACATCATTTCATTTTAATGTTGATAAGATGCCACACGAACTTAAGTCTTATTTATATCAATTAGCCTAAGGTAAAACTGGTTTCATTATATGTTGTTTCGTTTAAAATTTCAGAGCCTACTGACATTAATAAGGACTTACTGCAATTAGGCAGTAGACTATACAGATGCTCCTCAACTTATGATAGGGTTACATCCTGATAAACCTATTGTTTAAGTTGAAAATGCATTTAATACACCTAACCTACCCAACATCACAGTTTAGTCTAGCCTACCTTAAATGTGCTCAGAACACAATATCCAAAAAACACTGGCAACACAGTACATTATAGAGTATGGGTTGTTTATCCTCGTGATCACAGGCCGACTGGGAGCCGCAACGCGTTGCCGCTGCCCAGCATCACGAGAGTGTTGTACCGCACAGCTCCAGACTGGGAGAAGGTCAAAATTCAACGTTTGTTTTTTACTGAATGAGTATCACTTTCACACCATCATAAAGTTGAAAACTCAAAAAAATCATAAGTCAAACCATTGTAAGCTAGGGATGTCTACATAGATCTGAAGCTTAGAGAAGATATTTGGGCTAAAGTATAGGCCTACTCATCAAAATCCAGCTCTGATGTCACCTCCTCTGTAAAGCTTGCCCAACTCAGAGGTATAATCCCGTGCAACCCCTTGCAATCCCACAGAACTCTGTTCCTACTGCTACCAGAGCATTTTGGAAATGGATGAACTATTATAGTTCATTTAATTTAGCATCTTTAATTTGTAAGTACATAAACTTAAGTCTTGAAACACATGGGACTTGATATCTGGTGGCAAAACTTTAGCTAAAACTGTTATCTCCTAACTCCAGAATCTTCTCCCCTAAACCATGCTGATATAGCTGCAGAAATCACAGTTACGGAGAAAAGACCTACTGGTTCAAGTACTTTTCAGAGGAAAAAAATAACACTAAATTTCAGAACAACTGATCTGTATCCATGCTTATGAAATGAAAGTCCATCCTTCTTTCTAGTCGGTTCCTGTGCTTTCCCCTGTCCCAAGGTGGTTTGCCTAGAAAAGAAAAACTATGGCATGACTTGAATGGCTCTCTTTCACAATAGCTTAGTCTTTCCCAAAGTAAATTCTACAGAAAGAACACTAGGTCCATGGCCACTAATAGGTGACATTGTCAGATATGTTTTGAAAGGGATGAACTAAAGTCAATTGGGTTTGTGTACTAAAGGACATCTCAAAGCTATTCAAATACTTTCATGTTAGATCTCACAAATTAAGACTTTCCACATCTCTTACCACTTTTCAGGAAATCTACATGTGCATCTTTGTGATGAAGTAGCTCCACATCATAATTGGCAGATGTGTTGGCATGTTGTTCTTCCTTAAAGCAAAATTTAAAATAACTTGGTTTTGTTTCCCAAACAATGAAGTTATTATTTGTTAACTATTAATTTTGTTTTTTGCTTAAAATGAGATAAAATACATCCAACAAAAATTAGCTATAATAATGGTATAGTTTGTTCAGTAATTAATCTATTTAAAGATGCAATAGTTTTCCACTGAAATATGAAGTCTATTAAAAAACTACTGGTTATATATTAACACAGTATCTAATTATTTTTCTTTTATTATATCATAATGTAATTGAAATAGTTTATATAAATTGAAAGTGAAACCATTGTTTAAGGGAGAAAATAGCATCTTTAAATATCTACAGTAAATTAGCAAACATCAACTATATAAAATAGCAAATACTAATAAAAAAATTTAGTAACTTGTTTTTACTAAATAGTAAATAAGAACTTCAATATTATCTATTTACAAGAAAAAAAACAGAAATTGAAGAAAGAATCACACCAATAGCACACAAATATAACCAAATTCTAAGAGCAAGGTATCTGTTACCCTCAGGGTATTTTTCTTATAAGTCATGAAATTATATATAATAAAGTACACCTATTATGCTATTTTACTTGTTAATTGCTCTGTATCCAAACCATTCTATGGGAGAAAGCTACAATCTCTATTAAAGAGTCAGCCAATGGTATAAGGAGGAAGTTAATAATGAAAAATATTTCTCACACAATTTAGTGTTCATCATATGGTGGCAAAACAATGAAATTGGGACTTACAAGAAAGAAAGTCTATTTGCATTTTTTAGATATGGTGGTTACTTTATTTGTAAATGTAATCAATAAAGTTAAAATCAACTCCACTTAGTAAAAATTCATTTAAAGCTTACCATGGGTCAAGCATTATGCTAGTTCTAGAAACTTAATAATATGATGAAAAGGAACAGGTGGCAACAGATGCCTAAGAATATCCATTAATAAAATCATAAGACTTACATCTTTGGTTTTCAGGTAGGGTAATACACTTATTTAAAACTATGAGCTATTTTTACCTAGTCAAACTTATTAGTTACAAACACTTTTATACTTGGTGGGCAAAAATGAGAATATAGAAAATAAAAGACCCACTAGAATGTACAATATAAGTAAAATCTAATAACACAATTGTCAGAAAAAGAATCACAGAAAAAGTAATCATTAAAGATAGAGATATTTTGACAAAAATAATGAGAACATAATTAAAAACAAAAAAGCTGATATAGGGTGTTCTTATTAGAGAGAAAAATACAGCATTTTGTTCTGTGATCCTTTCCTGTTGCTTTTCAGTATTTACTGACCTGGTCAAAGACACTGAATGTGGGCTAGCAAAACAGAAAACATGGATATGGGGAGAAAAAAATTAAGGTTCAATTAAAATAAATAATACATTTCAAACAAATGTTTAAAAAGCAAAACAGAGCTTTCAAAATAGCAGGAAAAAGAACTGCCTACCTTCATTGGAATATTTGTAATAGTAGTGGAAGCCAGGTCAAAATGTTGCTGTACTAAAATATTTAATTTGGTAGCAAGATGCCTTCCTGCACGAACACTATGAACTTCGCTGGTTAAAACAGGGGACAACTACAGAAAAGTATGGGGGGGAAGAACAAATCCACAAAATATTAATACATTGTAACTGACGCTAAATAGTTTACTTCAACCCATAAAAATTGAGTGTTTTTACTTTATAGAATTTGGAAAAGTAAAAAGGTCCAGAAATTAACCAAGATCATTATTTTAGCAATAAATGTTCACACATTCATTCTTTCATTCAACAAATAGGTACCAAGCAGAACCTACTACATTATATATCAGAAACTATGTGAGCTATTGGAGGATACAGCAGTGAGCAGGCAAAAGAGTTGTTGATTCAAATACATATTTTCATTTATAATTTTACTTCTATTTCATCTATATGCAAAATGGATTTGAAGTGGACCACAGAAATACTGTGGAAAAAATAATTCATTTTGTCGAGAGGACCAACGTCTGAAGATAGAACTACTTATAAGGAATGTGGAAATCACTACAAACATCATATTTTATCACCAATAAATGTGATAGGGCGGCCAAAAGTTTCATATAACAAGGTAAGACAAAACTTTACTCATTCCAGGGTAACAATATTTACTGTAAATAAGTTTTTTAGCTATCACAAAGTAAGGCCAACATATTGCCACACTATCAAGAGGCAGAAAAAAGTTAATAAAAAGAGGTGTATACTGGAAACCACCTAAAAACACAATAAAGCTAATGACCTAAAAGTAACATTTAACTACAAAATATTCATAGACTAGGTAATACTTCACATTCATATTAAATAAGGCTAAATGAAAAACCTGAATGTAAGAACATACACATTTAATATAATTATATAAATACATATATTTATACTGACGATAGACCACTGACAGAGAATATTATGTGATACAAATCCTTTTAACAATCAACAGACTTATCTTTTCCTTTAAAAATGTTCAAATTTATTTAAAAAGTAAAACCAAGGCTGGAAATTAGTTTTCCCCCATCTGAACAGGCAAAATTAATATCTATATTATTGGAACATGTCAAGAGTATATTGCTTTTCTAATGAAGAAAAAAAAAGATTTTTACTGAATAAAGCGTCATTAAAGCAACTGAAACCCATTGCAATCATTGAAATTTTAGGAATAATACAAACTATTACAAACTATGTATGGTTTTACAACACATTTAATTAAACATCAACAGGCAAGCAAAACAGAAAACACTTTTTTTTTAATCCTCACCCGAGGATATGTTTTTATTAATTTTAGAGGGGGGGGAGAGAGAGAAATATCAACCTGTTTTGCTATACAGGTTGCCTCCTGTATGTACCCCGACTGGGGATTAAACCAGAAACCTAGGTATGTGTCCTGACTGGGAATCGAACCTGCAACCTTTTGGTGCACAGGACAACACTCCAATCAACTGAGCCACCTGGACAGGGCAAAACAGAAAACACTTTAAAATGTACAATGATAACATAAAGAACCAACCTGAGTGTTTTGCTATGCAGGTTGCTTTGAAAACTGTAAATACAAGGTGGGGCAAAAGTAGGTTTACAGCAGTTGGTATGGAAAATAATACAATAATCAATAATAATACAAGAATAAAGTCTGTTTTGTGTACTCACGACTGTAAACCTACTCTGCCCCACCTTGTATTTTCTTGGCAGAAAATGTTGGCAATGTGATCATTATAATGCTAACCCTTGTCAGCATTTATTATTAATAAACTAACAATGATCTTTCTTTCCATTACTTCTGCACTTACCTCTTTTTTAGGACGATCAGACACAAGGCTGTCTTCACCAACTGGGTAGGTATGGATCAAGACCAGCTCACACTTCTGAATCTGCATGAGACTTAAAAAGAAATTTACACTTAGAATGTAAGAATATATACTATGTGAAGATTCTAGGCAAGTAAACTATGGAAAGTTTAATACACCAAAACACTGTATTCCTATAACGAGATGCTATTGTTAACACAAAAGCTAAATATTTAGAAAAACTGTGTAATTATTGTACTTGTATAAACATTAAATGAATAATTTATATTAAATTCAATTGCAAAAATAATTTTTGTGTTTGAAGAATAAAATAAAAATTTGTGTAATCTTCAATAGATAACTGTCACAGAGAAAATGAATATATTGTGTATGTTTCCTTTTTACTAATTTTTTTAAGCACAAAATCAGGCAATACTAACCATGATCTATAACTGGTTATTCCAAGAATACAGAGCTTGTAATACTAAAATGTTTACCCCAACTTTTTATCTTAAAATTTCCAAACCTACAAAAAGGTTGAAAGAAAAGTACTATTCAATGAATACTGATATATCCTTAAACTAGATTCACTAAGTGATAGCTATATTTGTTCTCTATATATACCTAAATAGACATACACTGGTTTTTTTTATTAAGCCATTAGAGAGTAAATTGCAAAGGAAATGATACTTCATTCCTAAATACCTCAGCATGCTTCTCCTAGTGAGAATAATCCTCCTTATTAACAATACCAGTAGTCCACGTAAGGAGATTACTAATAGCTGAATCTAATTTAGACTCCACATTACACCTGTCCAAAACATCATCTTTTTTTTCCTCTCCCCTCAATATATTTTTATTGATTTCAGAGAGAAAGGAGAGGGAGAGAGATAGAAACATCAATGATGAGAGAGTTGTCAATGACCGGCTGCCTCCTGCACATCCCTGACTGGGCATCGAGCCCACAACCAGGCATGTGCCCTGACTAGGAATCGAACAGTGATCTCCTGGATCCTAGGTCAATGCTCAACCACTGAGCCATGCCCAGACAGGCCAAAACATCCTCTTTTATAGCTTTTTTTCTTTTAAAAAAATTCATATAATGCAATTTGCTATGTTTTGATTGGTCCGTAGCGAATAATGCCACCAAAAATTTACTCATTTACAAATTTAAAAGAGTATGAGAGCAAGCCATCAAAACAAGTAAGCATTCTAAATTTATACATTATGTTACAGTTCTGATCACCTTTCTTATGGTGATCTACTTTTGGAAAAAGTAAAATTTTAAAGTGAAAGGGAAAATGGGCAAAAAAGTTTCTGATCAAACACATCTTTTGACTAATTTGTAGAGTCAGAAGAGAATTCTACCAGTTACTATTAAAATTACTGAAAGAATTACAATGAAATATATAGGACTATAAAATGGAATATTTATTTCATTTATGGATTATACTCACTGATCTGAATTTGCAGCAAGCTTGTTATGCTCATGAATCGTTTCCTGAACACAGTCCTCAAGCATTCGCACATGACTATCACTAGTGGCATAAAAAAGATGTAACAAACTTAAAGGAATAAACAGTAAGGTTCAGTTACAGGCATTTAATATTACTTCAGTAAGGACTGTCTTTAGCATGCTCATTCACAACACCAAATAACCAATTAAAAACTAGTGAAAACTCAAATTAACCTACATAATGACAATCTAAAGTTTTCACTGAGATGAGTCTTTATTTAGAATTGGATAAACAAAGCTTCAATATTAGAAAGGTCATTTGTGATATGCTTAAATGCTATCATGTTGCCCCTGCCTTTTAAAATAAAAGCTTGCAACAGGACATTAAAATTCCCTCTGTGAAAGAATTATTGTGATTAATGTCTCACCTTTTTGCATTAGTAATGCAAATTATTCGCCCTCTATTTCCAACACGTTCTGCATTCTCCATTAGTAGAGTACGGGCCTCGTGTTGGTACTCTGTAATTTTACAAAGGGTTTCCACTGCTGCAACGAGACCATGTAGAATACTGCAGCATTCTGGATCTGCCCGTGGATTAGGGGGCCCAACAGCAGCTAATGCTGCCATTAGCTAAATAAACAAGAAAACAATTATGTTGACAAGAGCATGCACAAGTCAGACAAAGACATCACAAGAAAGGTAAACTATATACCAGTATATATTATAAATATGGACACAAATATCCTCAACAAATTACTAGCAAACCAGATTGAGAAACATATAAAAAGATTAGACATCACGACCAAGGGGACTATCCCAAGAATGCAAAGTTGACTTAAAATTTGAAAATTAATGTGAATATCATATCAACAGAAACTTTTTAAAATCACATGATCTCCAAAAATCCAAGAAAAAGCATATAACAAAATCTAAGACCTTTTCAACAAACTAGAAATAGAAGGAAACTTCCTTAAGTAGATAAGTGGTACCTACGAAAAACTTACAGATAACATCATACTAATGGTGAAGACTGGACATGTTCCCTCTAAGATCAGAAACAGAAGAATGATGTCCAGTCTCACCACAGGGCAATAAGGAAAGAAAAAGAAATAAAAGGAATCTGATTGGAAAGGAAGAAGTAAAACTACCTCTATGTTTGCAGATGACATGATCTGATATGTAGAAAATCCTAGAAATCCACTAAAAAATTATTAGAAATAATAAGCAACTTCACCAAGATTGCAAGATACGTGATTAATATACAAAAATCAGCTGTATTGCCATATACTTGCAATGAACAATCCAAAAGTGAAGTTAAGAAAACAATGCCATCTATAAAAGCAACAAAAAGAATAAAATACTTAGGAATAAATTTAACAAAAGAAATGCAAATCTAACTCTGAGAATTACAACATACTGTTGAAAGAAATTAAAGATCTAAATGAGTGGAAAACATCCCATGTTCATAAGTTGGAAGACTTAATATTGTTAAAATGGCAATATTACCCAAGCTGAACTACACATTAATCTCTGTCAGAATCCCAGTAGACCTCTTTATAGAAATTGACAAGCAGATTCTACAATTCATATGAATTGCAAAGGACCCAGAATAGCCAAAACAACCTTGAAAAGAATAAAGAAGGAGGACTTTGCTTTGTATATGCATAAAGATACTCTGGAAAGACCCATAAAACTAAACAGTGATGCGCTGGTAAACCAGCTTTCCAAAAAAGGGGGGAGGGAGAAAGCCCTGTCCTGTAGTGTTTGCCAGTATCTATGGTTAAATATTCCCACCATAGCTGATTTTAAGTTTCACTGAATATGAAGTTGGTGGGTGATGCACAGTCAGCTCTTCCAAGTTGGTATGAGCAGGCTCTAGCACACTACTAAGTGGAACAGGGGATGAGTGGGAAACTTGTCAAGGTTTACTTTTACTACACACACACGCCCCTATGTATATGTATACATATGTACTATGTATGTATATATGCATATTTTATCTTAGAACTACATATGTATTACCTATTCATAAAAAGTAATCAAAATAGAAAGGGAAAATACTGCATATAAACGACTATATAAAGGCCCTGCTATAAGAGAAACTCAATAAAAAGTACTGTTTTAGGGGAAGGGTGTTGTGGTGCTGGGGAATGTAGCAGAAAGCAAGCTTAACAGTTAGAGTCAGATAAAGATGAAGTGAAATTCTGGCTCTGTTTTTTAATACTGTGAACCCTTTTCCTAATCTGAAAGGGAAAGTAATAACAGAAACTGTACCACATAGTGTGACACTTTCAAACTTTATTTAAGTTAGCCAACAAAAGCAAAACCAAAACACCTGAAGTATGACAATATTTTTGTAATAAAATTTAAGATGTATACGAAGGGAAGGGGACAGGCATAGTGGCATGGGTGAGAGGAAATATAAAAAGTAAATCCTCCTCAACAATGATGATAAAGTTTAACCTGAGAACTTTATAAATGGGAGTAAAAAAATTTTATTTAGAAATATGGAAGTATATACTAAATGAGCAAGAGTTGAAAGTTTGCTTCTAGGAAGTGTGGAAAGACTGAAATGGAGATAGCTGTTTTTCTTTTAGTATTAGTTGGTATTTTAAAACTATGTGCATATACTATATTGATCAAAAAATTTTTAATCATTTTTAAATAAAGTATTACCACATGCAGATAATTTTCAAAAAGGCCACAGCTCAAAACCTAATCATACCTCTTGCAAATTTTGGTCTTCTTGAGTCCAAGAATTTAAAACATGTGCTCCAGAGTCACTCACAATGAAATTCACCTAATAGATTTCAAAGAAATAATTAGTATTCAACTCCAATTCCATTTGATCACATCATATTTAAAATGTAAAGTGTGCTACTAGTTAATAGTAAGAAGTTAAAAATAAAATAATATGAAGTCTCTAGCACTGATTGGTTGATTGAGCCACCTAGCCATTTTATCAGTATAGAATGCCTAGTGCTGTCAGGTGCTATTTTTAGCATTGGAGATATGGCAATATAGTGAGGAATAAACAGTTCTGTCACAATGTGGGGAAAGCCAGGGGTTTGGTAGGTGTGGTAAGATAAGAGAGCAGCAGCGCAGGGAAAAAACAAATGAACAAGATCATTTCAGAGAGTGATAAATGTAAAGAAAAAGGTCATTAGCTACTTTAGGTTGGTTGGACAGAGAAGGGCTCTCTATAGAAGTGACAACTAAAGGAAATCCAAAATGACCAAAAGAAACCAGCCATAGAAAGAGCTGGGGATAGAGAATTCCAAGTACAGTGAACAGCAAATGCAAAGGCTTCTAAGTGAGTACCCTCAAAAGGGTAAAAGTCAGAGCAGACAGAAGGGCCGGAGATAAGCTCAAAAAATAGGCAGTAGCCAAATGACATAGGGCACTGAAAGCCAAAATATGGATCTGTACTTTATTCTAAATTTTAAAGTAAAATGCAAACCAAAAAAATATGAAAAGTATGAAATGATCTTACCCTTCTCCCAAAAGCGAAGTCACTTACCATTTTATATATTTTCTAATATATCCTTACCTCAGATTCTGCAGCTCGAACATGGCAGTAATAAAAAAGGCTGATATTCAAATGCTACATACCAGCACAGTCTCGCAAACTGCTTACAGCCAACATCCCTGCTGCATAGGCTAGCAACAATTAATGGTCAGTGCCTGTTCCATTTTCATTATTATGTACCTTGAATATTATCCCAGCAATTACAGTACCTACCTTATAGGACTGTTTTGAGAATTGGAGGAGTTAACATATATGAAGCACTCGGGAATAGGTCTGGCACCCACAAGTGCTCTATAACTGTTAGCTATTACTGTTGGTCCCAATTAAATACACATGACATTTAATCCCAAAGGGGAGTTCTACATATCACATTTTTAAAGTAGTAAACAAATAGTTCTAAGTCAAATTTACAGAAAATTCATATATGAAAAAATGTAATAGGCAGTTAAGTACATCCCCAAAATTATTATTTTGCTTGTATTTCACACTCACCAGCTTTTTGAAAGGAAATATATCATACATTATTCTACAATATTCCATGGAAGATTCTACTGAGCAAGTCCACAATGACTTAGATATGGGGGCTAATGGGATGATTCCCTGGGTCCTGTTCTTCACCAGCATATCAAACTCAACATGCTGTCGGCATGATTCTGCCATGTAAGGGCAGTGATCCACAACAAATACTGTTTTATGAGATTCAGAAAAAATCTTCATTTTGTTTTAACCTGTAAGGGATAAAATATATTAGCCAAATGTCTTATGCATAACATTTAAATCTTAAATTATTTCTAATTAATGTGTTTTTTCTTCAAGAAGATTTGGTAGGAAACATGAATAATCAGTACCCAAAGAAATTTATCCAACGAAGGACAAGATTTAACGAGGTCATGACCAGAAAGTAACTACCGATTCGAGGGATGAGCTTCAGTACCATATTGTCACTCTGTCAGTCACAGGCAAAATTACAGTCCATACATATTTTTTTTTTCTTTTTGAATGAACTTAAAATAGGCAAAAGAAAAATACTTTTACAAATAATTGTACTTGATTCCCTTACATAATACCAAACATAATAAACAACAAATACTTTTCAAACACACTTCTGATGATTCTTGCTGACAGCAATCACATATAAACCCCCAAACTAACCCAAGTCAGCAGTTTTGAGCTTCCCTCCAAAAAAGTCTCAAGGCTTCTGAAAAGGGGAGGGAGGAGAATTAACAGGAAACAAAAGTGACAGCAATAGGAAAGACCAAAACATAATAAATAGGCATCTAACAACTGCATATCGGGTCTTCGCATCAGGATAAGGACCCCAAATTCACACTGTCCCCCTGAGCTTTGGAAACATCCCAGTAATTTATCAGGTGGGACAGAAAAACTTAGTTGCTACCATCACATGGGTGGGGAGGAGAAACTTTTAAAACTTTTTCTTACAAAAACTCCCTTGCTTCGTTAATAAAATCTTATGCTTAATAGACAATCCATATTCAAAACGCACACGGTAAGCAGAGCAGAAGTGTTCAAAACGAACTGACTTTTTACGATCCAGCTATTTTCTTCTGCTTTCAATCGCATTTCCCCTTCATGCAAAACTCTTCTTTGAGAAACCTAGACACACTCCGCGGGAGGGTGCGGGGTGGAAAGTACAAGGTGAGTGGATAAGGAAGACCTCAGGATTGAGGTTAGCTTACTTTCGTGCCTGGTCCTGAAGTGAAAACGAACAGAGGCTACGGACCGCAGCCTCTCTGGCAAAGGCTGCTGGTTGGGTGGGGAGGGTCAGCGCACAGTCAGGAATGTCTGGTACCAAAGGCAGGGGACTCTGCTTTCCCCGCTCATCTCTTTGCACACCGGTTCTTCCCCAGCTTCCTAAACGCGGGAGCGCGCGCGCGTGCGCGTGCACACAAACACTCACACTGGGGTTCGCGCGTGCGCAGAGCACTCTTCGACGGCCCCGCCAAGCCGCCCTTCCCCCTCGAAGGGCCAGACGCCCAGGTCGCTGAACAGGAAGAGGGCGGAGCCAAGGGGGAAAAAAAAAATGCCTCCGACCCTCAAGCTTTTTCTACCCGCTAGTTTTCCCAGTCACCCATTGGGGAGTTTGTTCCGGGCAACCTGAGAGCGTCCCCATCAGCGAAGTACCAACCACAGCAATGGCTAAACCAGCCAAGGGCCCTGAGCGTAAGGCCCTCCCACCCGGTCTCCCCTTCTCGGTCTCTTCGCTTAGGCCGGGTTCCCTGGCAAAACTCGCGAGACTTTGCGAGAAACCAAGCGAAAAAAACCTGATACGGATGGGGCGGGACTTAGAATGGACCCGCCCCCTTACCCCCCAGCGCAGAGCAACGAGAAGCTGCAAATAAATCTCTTGACTCTGCCTCCCGCGGTGACGCAAGGAAGGAAATCTCGCGAGGTTGGAGCGCTGTGGCAGCGCTAGTCGGACGCGGTTCCCCGTCCAGTGATGGGGCCGGTCCCTGCAGACCCCCAAGCTGCCCGCCGCCTGCGTCTGCCGCGCTCTGCATCTGCTCGCTGAAGAAGCTGGACGGGCGCGAGGACTCTCCCTCCCTTTGAGTGCGTGGATCCCCCTTGGCAGAGGCTTGAGTCCTGATCGCCACGGCTGACGGCTGCGAGGGACCGAGACCAGAGTAAGTGGAGTAAATCCAGGGACCAGAGCAGGCGTGGGGAGCCGTTAGCGTCCCTGCCCTGGGCCGCCTCGCTCCTCTCGTTCCCCCCGCCAGTTTCCCCTCCTGGGAGCGGCACTTCCCGTCCCCGACCTCAGCTCTGAGCTCCCCTTTCCGGGACTGAGGTGCGGAAAGTTGAAGGAGAAGCCCTGGCCCCCCGGACACACCTTCCGTACCTGCTTCCTTCCTGCCAAGCCCCCCTGGGCGCTCACCGTCGAGGGCCGGGCAGAGGGAGCCTGTCGGTGCGCAGTGTGCCTCTGCCGCAGAGGACGTGGACAGCTCTCCCTCCCTGGGACTGCCCTCTGAGAAGGACTACTCTTCCTGGTTTCCTGCCTGCCTTTCTTCTGCATCCCGCCTTTGATAATGGTACCAGTGTCCATCCTGCTGTCCAGACTAGAAACCCTCATCCGTGTTCTGCATTTCCACTCGCGCTGCGCTGTGTTATTTTCTGCCTTCCCCAGAACTGTTGCAGTTGCCCTCCCCCAGCTAAGTTTCCCCACCGTCGTCCTTCGCAATGAGCTATCATTCTGAAATGCAAATCTGTTTATATCACTCCTTAAACTTATTCAGTAACCGTATTGCTGACCGAACTATTTCTTAATGGATAAGCAGTATCGTTCAGGACCTTTTCCTATCTGTACCGATCCATTTTACCTCTTTAATCTCATCTTGCTTCTCTAAATACCTCACTGTCCAACCATACCAGGCAATGGGCTGTTTCCCCAAACGTGTCTTGCACTTTCACAGCTCTGTGCCTTTGTACGTGCTCTACCATCTGTCAAGAATGCTTACTCTTTTTTTTATTATTATTATTATTTTACCACCTATCAAAACCCAATTCATATATCATTGTCACCTCACACTCCCGCAGGTGACATTTATAATAATACCACTGTGCTCCCAGCGCACTTGAAACAGTTCTGCAGTATTTATTAGGTTTTGTTATTTGCTCATATATCTGTCTTGTGCCAATTTGAGCTTGAGTCTGGAATCATGTCTAATTCATCTTTGTAGCAAACGCTAGTCTATGCTTGTGGCACATAGCAGGCATTATTTATGTATACATATATAAATATAATATAATAGTTCTAAAGATTCACCATAGGAGTCCTTCATGCCCTTAAAATCATAGCATTTTTAGAGCCAGAAGGAACATTGTATATTAGCTAAATGGCCACAGACCTGTTTTGAATGCGAGGAACTGTGGACCCCTAACACACAAGTAGTTGTACTTTTAGTGTTTGTTGATTGAGATTGTGCCTAATGGCAAAGAACTATGCTTTTAAATGGCTTTTGTTTTATTATACTAGTATGTGTCTATACAGTATTTGAAAAATAATGGACTATATGTGTGAGAGAAATATTTTAGACTACAGACTATGTTTGCTATGTACATCCATGCAACTCTTCCAGTGACTCCTTGGCCTATAGGTTAGAAATAACTGGTTTAGGTTAGGTTATTTCCTTCTTGAATTGTCATATCTGTTTGAACATATAGGCATATGTAACTTATATTTAGCCACAATTCTAAGGTAGTATGTAATTTTTTAAAATTCTCCTGTGTCCCTACTTTCAAATTCTGTTCCTTACAACTTTAAAAATTCACCTTCTTCTCATAAAGCTGCTTCATAAAGCCTTGGACATGTTCATTCCATCATTTTCAAGAACTGAAAATTTTTCTATGCTTTCAAATACACTGATGTGTCTGTATATAGTGATTATTTTTACATGTAATTTACATGCATTCTTTCTTGATCTTTTTAGATTATAAGGTTATCAGAAAGCCCTACTATGCCTTTTTATTTTTCTGTCCTGTGTCTGTTAATATTATGTACTAATTGACATTAGATGTACCTGCCTGAACAACCCAGTAAGAATTTGTTAAATAGATTGTTGACATTTGAAGACAATGGCATATCACAATATTTCTATACATCCAGCTATAGGATGCTGGATTTATGGCTAAAAGAAAGAAGAGTGACTTGGATTTCTTTAAAATTTTGTTAACCAAAATCTAAAACTAAACAGCTGTCAGTTGCTGTCATGGGTGGGTGGTGGTTTCTTTTATCAGCAGCAGAATGTTCTGAACCCTCTGCCAGGAGCCTGTCAATGTCTTTGGGTGGTAAAGTGGGCGAGTATATAGCTAATGCAGGGAGGAAAACACCTGCTTTAGAAAAATTTCACCTGATGTTTGAGCCTGCCTATCCAAGATAATGTAAGTAATAATTAAGATAAGCACTATAAAAATAGGCAGATAAATTGAGAATACTCTTTTTTTTTTTTTTTTACTGGAGTCTATTTTTAAAACTTGTTAGAGAGTTAGGAAAAAATCTTCCTCCCACTCCACTTACTGACCAAAAAAGAGTGGCAAAACACAATGTTTTTCAAAAAAGGTGGCAGAGTAAATACATATTATTAAATATTTTAAACTTTTCTGTGGTTTCACATACAGGAAATGAACTTGCAAATTCTTAGAAACTTTGCATCATTGTTTTTCTGAAATGCTAGTAAAATTATGCTTTGAATTACCTGATGTTTAAACTTCATTTCTCTGAATAGCATTATTTTTAAATTGCAAAACAATTTAAATATGGTTTATTTTTATAGTATTTTTTTATGCAGTCTAGAGAATGTTTTTTAAAGTGAATGTTAATTGTAGTTTCAAAAAAACTATCAGTAAACATTCATTAGTCTTATAACTATAATGCCTAATTAAAATGGATGCTAGGCTTTTATTAGTTATAAGAAAAATATTTGAAATTTTGTTATTTTTTCATCCTTTCTTCATTTACAGTCCCATCTATTTTCTATTGCTGGCTTGAAATGCAATTTTTATAACATTTTGGAAGTCCCATTGGGGACTTAGGGTCAGGGAATTTGCTTTGTTTTTCCAGCCAGGGGTACTGAGATGGTTTTTATATAGGTAAAAGGGTCCTGGGGATCCACCTTGGCTCTTGAGTACAGCAGTAGACTGGAGATCAGAAGTTCTATTTCTGGGACTAGCTTGGCTCCTTCCTTGCTGCATGGTGCTGTCATTCAGCAACTCATTTGGAATCCCTGAGTCTATTTCCTCATTGATAAAATGGGAATAACACTTGTCTTTTGTTGATTAAAAGACATTATTAGGTAGTGGTCCCCAGGTTCAGAAAGCTACCAAGAGTTTGAATTAATGGAAATGATTATCTAGTAGTGTGATTTTATTCTGGAGTGCTCTAGAGGTCCATTTGGGTTGAATTAGATTGGAGAGAAGGCTAAGAATAAGTAAAGTGACTTTGAAGAAGAAAGATGGCTTGCTGTATCAGATAGTCAGAGTTCATTTTACAGCTGACAGTTGAGGCAGCTTGGTTTTGATATAGGGATTGACAGATAAATAGACCCAGATATAGAATAGAGAGCTCAGAAACATACCCAAACATTTATTGAAAAAACATATAACAGGTATGGCATTAATATTTACTTGGGGGTATTCCAACCTCAAAAAAGAAATGATAATTAAGTGACATGGTAGAGGTGCTAATTATTGCTACAATAGCAATCATATTACAATGTATAAATGTATCAAATCAACATGTTGTACACCTTAATCTTACATAATGTTATATGTCAAATGTATTTCAAATTTTAAAAAATTCAGCGAGGGAGGAATGTACTATCCAATAAATGGGACTGGGGCAACTTTTTCCCCCAGAGGAAAAAAGAAAATATGAGTAGTTGCGTGCCTTATGCTATACATGCGGATACATACCAGATGAAATAAAGAAAAAGGCAAAACCTTGGGGATGGAGTGATTTTATTTTTTAAAGTTTAAAAATTAACATAAAATAGTCTTTTTTTTGGATTGCAGTTCTATCTTTTTAACATGTATACAGGGTCATGTAACCACCACTATCCATCAGCCCAGCATAGTCCCTTGTGCCCCACCCTCTTCCCACCCCTAACTCCTACTCCTGATAGCTACTGATCTTCTTGTCCATCATTATAATTTTGTCCTTTTGGCAGTGCCAGGTAAATGGAAACAGGATGTAACCTTTTGAGACTATTTCCTTTCAATAAACATAATGCCTTTGAGATTTATTTAAATTGTTGCCTGTATCAGTACTTCACTCTATATTATTGCTGACTAGTATTCCATTTTATGGATTGTATGTACTACAGTTTATTTATCCACTCATTTCACTACAGTAAATATCCAGAAGTGGTATTGCTGGGTTATATGGTAGCTGTGTGTTTAACTTTGTAAGAAACTGCCAAACCGTTTTCTGAAATAACCATATCATTTTGCATTTTCTCCAGTATTATATGGGAGTTCCAATTGCTCTACATCTTTTCCAGCACTTGAAATGTCAGTACTTTTTATTTTAGTCATTTTAGTTGGACTGTAGTGGATCTCATCATGGTTTTAATTGCATTCTTTTAATAGCTAGTGGTGATGAACATATTTTCATATACTTATTTGCCATTCATATATCTTTTTTCTGAAGTTTCTTCATCAAATATTAATATAGCTACTTATATTCTTTTCTTTTTTTAATACTTTTATTGAGATATAATTCACAGTTCATACACCTTAATTGAGCTATAATTCATATACCACTTAAATAGCTGAATACCTATTTAAAGCATACAATTTGGTGGGGTTTTTGTTATATTTACAGAGATGTGCGACCCATCACCACAATTTTAGAATATTTTCATCACTCCAGAAAGAAATCCTGTGCCTATTAATATTCACTCCCCATTCTCCTTATTTTGCCCCAATCACCCACTCTCCCCCTGTGCTAGACAACCACTAATCTACCTTGTCTCTTCTAGATATCATATAAATGGAGTCATAAATTATGTGGAGGGGGGAGGTTGCGACTGGCTTCTTTCATTTAGCGTAATTTTTCCATTTTATCCATTTGGAGCATGTGCCAGGACATCATCCCCCCCTTTTTTTTTGCAAAAAATATTCAACTTTATGGATATACCACATTTTATTCATTCATTTATGAGTTGATGGATATATGAGTTCTACTTGTTGGCTCCTATGAATAATGTGGCTATGAACATTCATGTATGGTTTTTGGCATGTACACATGTACATTTTTGGTATATACCTAGGAGCAGAATTGCTGGGTCATACACTTATCCTTTTGAGGAACTACCCGACTGTTTTCCAAAGTGCCTGCACTTTCCACCCAGCAATTTATGAAAGTCCCAAATTCTCTGCATCCTAGCCAACACCTACCTGCCTTTCTTAACTATAGCCATCCTAGTAGGTGTGAAGCATCTCATTGTGGTTTGGATTTGCATTTCCCTGATGGCTAATCATGTTGAGTATCTTTTCATGTGCTCATTAGCACTTGGGCTTTCTTTTGATTAGTGTTTATGTAGTGTATGTTTTTCTATCCTTTTACTTTTAGCCTGCCTATATCATATTTGAAGTGAGTTTCGTATAGGTAACATTTAGTTGGGTCCTGTTTTTTAAATTTGTCCTGATAATCTATCTTTTTTTAAAAAAATATGTTTTTATTAATTTCAGAGAGAGGAAGGGAGAGAGAGAGAGAGAAACATCAGTGATGAGAAAATCATTGATTGGTGTCCTCCTGCACACCCACTACTGGGGATCCAGCTGGAAACCCAGACATGTGCCCTGACCGGAAATTGAACCATGACTTCCTAGTTCATAGGTCCACACCCAACTACTGAGCCATGTGGTCCGGGCCTGATAATAAGTGTGTTTAGAACATTTACATTTAGTGTAATTATTAATATATTTGGATTTAGGTCCACAGTGTTATCATTTGTTTTCTATTTGTTCCTTTAATGTTTTGTTCCTTTGTTTCCCTTTTTCACTTTCTTTTGGGTTATTGACTATTTTTAATTGATTTTAATTCATCTATTGTGGTTTTGACTGTTATCTCTGTACAGTCTTCTTTACATGTTTTTCTAGGAATTATTATATATAGGTATGTAACATTTTTACGTTCTACTTACAATTGACATTTTACTATTTCAAGTGAAATGTTGAAACTTTATCACTATATAGGTCTACTTAACCTCCTGCCTTTATGTTGTAGTTATATCTACAGACAAAAGATATAGTTCTTGTTTTCAAACATCAGACATTTTAAAGCTCTCATGAAGAAAGTAGTTTGCTATATTTGCCTAGATATTTACGATTTCTGTTACTCTTTTACTTATTTTGAATGTTCTAAGTTTCCTTCTGATATCATTTTGCTTGTTTCTGAAGAATTTCTTTTAGAACAAATCTAGAAATGAATTGCTTTTTTCTTCATTTGAGATTGATTCTTATTTCACCTTCATATATGAAGGCTATTTTTATTGGATAAAGGATTCCTGATTGACAGTTTTGTTCTTTCAGCACTTTTAAGTGTTCCACTGTCTACCCACCTTTCAAGGCTTTTTCTTTGTCTTCCGTTTTCAAAAATTTGATTATGATGTGTCTGAACTTTTACCTTCTTGGATTTATCCTTTTGGGGGTTTGCTGAGGACTAGGAATGATGAAAACAGGAAGGTTCCTGAGAAAGAGGCAAAATGTTGCGTAATTTAAATTCATAAATAATTTGTTCCAGTTAAATATGTTTTCATATTACTTCATTAATAAGTTAGAATTTACTTGGTAGGAGACAAAAAGTATAATATTTTAACCATTGTGAGTATTACAGCTTTTCAACAGGAGACATCTTCAAGCCATCCATAACACAAACATACTAATATTTTGCTAGTATATTTAAGAATGTTACATTTTTTTTTTTTTTAAGATTTTAAAAATTGATTTAAATATCCATGTGAGAGTGAAACATCAATCAGCTGCTTCCTACATCCCCCCTGCCAAGGATCAAACTGACAGCCCTTCAGTGCATGGGATGACATCCAACCAACTGAGCCACACTGGCCTGGGCAGAAATGTTACATATTCTTAAACCATAGAGAGAGGTTACCCTATTAAATCCAGTAGGCTATGTTCAAAAAATCTTTTAAGAATGGTTTTAATCCTTGCTTCCACTTTATAATCTTTTCAGATTAATTTATTTATAAATAAGGTATGCGCTGGGCCACATCCTTTGCTATCCAAGACATTTTCCCATCAATGTTTAATACTGTGGCCAATTTTTTTTCTGTTGGTATGAGCTGTTTCTTGGAATATCTAAAGTCCATTTGAGGTTTTATCTGGTGCTATTCTAATAGTGGTAGCTCTTATCTCATGGGTTTTCCTACTTGGTCACCCCATTTTTTTTGGAATTTGTTACCCCATGTTTCTTTTTGGAATTTGTGAGACCAGATATTGTGTGTCTGTGATGTAATTTTTTAACTTCTCCATGGATTTGTTATGATTTTATTGTTTTATATGAGGCCATTGCATAAGGACTTTTAATCAAAGCAGTGTGTTTATAGAGTACTTTAAAATAATTACATAGTATCTATAGTATAGTAAACTACCTTGTATAGTATCTTTTTTACTGTATGTCACTACCTTTATTATTTTAGGTAGCATCAAGCCATCAAGTAATATATTTGTTGTTTTTAAGGGATATCTGAGGAATGTCTTTTCTTTGCAGCATTTCAAAGAAGTGATTTATTCTCAAAATATCCAGCTATTAATGTATAAATTTACTCTTTTATTTTAGCAAGTTGCTCTGTTTACTTAGGAAAGTAAGAGTGAGAATTATAATGCAACTTCACATAAGAAGCAGAAGTTCCTCCAGAAGAAGGCTGACACTGATGTAGCATTACACATAGAGGCCACTTTGGGTGGTTAGTATTGTGCATTTGTGAACATTGTCTCAGTTCACCTGACCAAGCAGAAGCTAGGAAGGATCTTATAGTCAGATTGACTGTAGAATACAGACTAATAAAGTGACATTTTTCACAGATGACAAAATAGGAGTGCCTTCATGAAGAACACAAGTTCTGTACAATATAAAATGTATTCATTGGATTTGTACTTTTTCCTCCCTATCGTATACTCAGGGTAGTTTACATACATTCTGATTATATCTGCAAATTATTTGTATATATTCTAAATTTTTCAAATATTATAAGTTCACTTTCAGTCTTGTGCCATCCTAGCAGAAGCAAAACCACGGGTGTTCTTAAATATTTTTTCTCCCCATACAATGAACATTCCTGTAACAGATGTAGCTCCAGAACCATATATCTGTGTTAACATGAAACTAAAGATGATATGCTAGCTTTGTTTTGAGTCTTGACTTTAATTTTAATTCTAGATATTCCTTTAGAAATGAGTTGCACAATTGAAAAGGCACTTGCTGACGCTAAAGCCCTCGTTGAAAGACTGAGAGATCATGACGACGCAGCAGAGTCTCTGATTGAGCAGACCACGGCGCTCAACAAGCGAGTAGAGGCGATGAAGCAGGTTTGCTTTTTTTTCTTTCTTGGTTGCATTTTTTAAAAAGCAGTCATTGACATTTGTATATTGCTTGAATCACTAACTTCTGCTTAATTAGTATTTAGTTTTTTTTTAATGTTCTCTAAAATTTTAAAGTAGCTTGACTTGTATGTATGTTTCAGTTTTACTTTATAATTTTTTGTTAGATTTAGGTGGTATATATGTTATATATATTCTAAAACCTGTAGACTTGGTCACTTTTTTCTGACAGACACACATTTAAGTGTAGAAAATATATGAATTTATTCAGTCTAGATACATCTGACAAAAACCAGATAATGTCATTTACTAACGTAGACACATTTTGCTAGCTCTGATTTTCATAATGTGGAAATGTTTACATTTTTCTTTATAAAAGTATAGGTGATGTTATTTAACAGTGATTTTTTTTTTTTTTTTTAAATGATGCAGGGCAATATCTTTTTGACACCTTGTGCAGTTACTGCATTTTTACTTGCTCCCTTATTTTTCCTTAGTGCTGCCAGTTAAAGAAGAAATGACAGGGGCTTCACTTCTTGTTATCTTAGTGTCATCTATGAGGACTTTCCAGTGGGCCATGGAGTTTAGCTACTATTTTAAGCCCTCTTCTGATAAAAATATTTAACTCTAAGAGGATTGTAAAATCTCTGATATTATGATGGATATCAGTGGGGGGAAATGTATATTCATAGCCTACTCTCATGAAACTCATTTTGTAAAAGGAAGCAACCCTGGGATACTGTTTTTATCAAAGCTACTGGAAATAATGGAACAAGTTTACTTAGTTCGTTTTGCAACTCTTGCCCTAAAAAGATTGCTTACCTTTCTAACTGTGTAGCTTGTCTCATGCATTCCAGTGAACATATATTTGGTATTGAGTTGTTAAAAAAAAAGGAGTTTGACAACCAAATTTAGAACCAGGAATGTTATAATGACTGTGTTACTAAGTGGCTTATCAAAATGCCTTGAAAATAAAGTTACATTCCTCCTTATTAAAAAAAGAAGTAATAGTTTTGCATTTCTTTTGCACATGTTATTGAGAATAATTTATATACCATAAAATTCACCCTTTTGAAGGGTACGGTTTATTGGATTTTAGGATATTCACAGGTTGTCAGCCACAATCACTAATTCCAGAATATTGTCAATACCCCAAAGCCCCTTTCTCCCTTCCCCCAGCCCTGACAATCACTAATTTTTCTCTCTTGATGGATTTGCCTATTTTGGACATTTCATATTAACAGAATCTTGCAATGTGGGGCTTTTTGTGACTGATTTAAATAATGTTTTCAAAGTTCATCTATACTGTAGCAGGTATCAGTATTTCATTCCTTTTTATTACCAAATAATATTCCATTGTAAGAATAGGTCACATTGTGTCTATCACTCATCAGTAGATGGACATTTGGATTATTTCTGTACTGCTGTGAATACTTAGGTACAAGTTTTTGTGTGGATATGCTGTCATTTATTTTGGGTATATAACTGAGTGGAGTGGATGGGTCATATAATAGCTCTGTGTATAACTTTTTGAGGGGTTAATCTTACATGAGGATTATAATTTCTCCTTATTCTCTCCAACACTTGTTGTTATTTGCCTTTTTTATTGAACTTATCCTAGCAGTTGTGAAGTGGTATTGTGTATTGAATTGCATTTCCCTAATGACTAATGATGGATGTTAAACATCTTTTCATGTGCTATTGACCACTTGTATATTTTCTTTAGAGCAATGTCTCTTCAAATCCTTCGCCAGTTTTTCCTCGAGCTTTATTGAGATATAATTGACATAAAACATTGTGTAAGTTCAAGATGTATGTTGTGATGATTTGATACACATATATTGTGAAGTGATTACCACAATAAGATTAGTTAACATTTCCCTCACCTCACATAATTACCTTTTGTATGTGTGTGATGAGAACATTTAAGATGTACTCTCTTAGCAATTTCAAGTTTACAGTACAGTATTGTTAACTGTAGTCACCGTGCTGTACATCACACCCCCAGAACTTATTCGTCTTACTTGCCCATTTTCTAACTTGGTATTTTTCTTATCACTCAGCTGTGAGAGTTCTTTATATATTCTGGATACCAGGCCCTTATCAGATATATGACTCAGATTTATATTTTCAAATATTTTCTTCCCACATATTCTTTTTTAATATTTTCATTAGTATCAGGAAGAAATTCAAGAACTTAATGAAGTTGCAAGACATCGGCCACGGTCCACATTAGTTATGGGAATCCAGCAAGAAAACAGGCAGATCAGAGAACTGCAGCAAGAGAACAAAGGCAAGATGCATTATTACTATATATAGCAAATCAAGAGAACTTTAATCTGCAGTTGTACTATCAACTTGGGATCAATTAATATTGTCAAAAATGTGAAAACAGTCAACTAAATTTACTTTTTGACATTAATCTCATCTCTACTTCGTATGTCTAAATCATATTTGTTGCCGTTTATCCTGTCCTACATTTGAATGTCTACCTTAGATTCTCACCGTTAATACCCAGTTGTGCCATTGTTGTTACCTATGAAATAGCTCATTTTCATTCTTTGCAGTCTCACGCTTTGTTCCCCAGCTTAGGTGCTTATAGTCTCTTCCTGAACTGTCCTAATCAGTCTCCCTGATTACATTCTCTTTTCCCCAGCAATACGACTTCAAAACAGACATCAGACTGGTTTTTCAAAAATGTATCTGTCGCCCTAGCCAGTTTGGCTCAGTGGTTAGGGCAGCGGCCCACGACCGAAGGGTCCCCGGTTTAGATTCTGGCCAAGGGCACGCACCTCAGCTGCAGGCTCAGCCCCTGTCAGGGTGCGAGCAGGAGGCAACCACTCGATGTGTCTCTCTCACGTTGATGTTTCTCTCTCTCTGTCTCTCTCTCTCCCTTTTCCTCCCTCCCTCCCTCCCTGCCTCCCTTCCTCCCTTCCACTCCCTCTGAAAAAGCAATGGAAAAAAATATCCTCGGGTGAGGATTAATATATATATATATATAGATATAGATATATAGATATATATAGATATATATATCTTATCATATTATTCTTTTGCTTAAGAACCCTCGTTGTACAGCAGGTCCTCAATGTCATTTTGTCCAGTGTTGTTTCATTATAATGTTGATGAGATGTCATAGGAACTTAACTCTTGTTTATATCAATTAGACTTTGGTCAAAGTGATTTTGTTATACATTGTTCTGCTTAAAGCCACAGAACCTATCAGGGTCCCAGGGTCCGGGGTACTTATTCCCTTATCCAGTGACCTTCAAAGTCAACTCCAAGCCTTCTTTTCTGTCTTCTTCCTGTACCTCTCTTCTCCACAAAACCTTTGCTTTTGCCATCCCAAACTTTCATGCCTCCCTACTTATAATGTCCTTTCCTTTATTTTTCAGTTCAAGGTGTGCAAGTTCATATCAGTACTATACTTCTGTGAAGCTTTCCCCAGTTTCTCCTCACAGACTTCTCCTGTATATTTGAGTAGAGCTTCTCTCTGCACTTACCACATTGTATTATAATTATTTATGTATTTGTTTTCTCCACTACACTCTGGGCTCCATGGCCTTTGGTATTAATAATATAGAGCATCATTCTGATACCTAATTGTTACTCAGTAAATGTTTGTTGAAATGATTCTCAAAAAATGAGTTTTAAGTGGTGATTTAAAGAACTAATGAAGGACTCCATTCGGTATTTTTTATTTGTATACAGCTAGATTTTTATCCATCATGGTTTTTTGTTTTTTTAATACCCTCTTTATAAGTTGTTTTATATATATTTTTTTTTTATTAAATTTATTGGGGTGACAGTGGTTAATACAAACATATAGGTTTCAGGTGTGGGTTTCTGTGTTACAAGATCTGTATATTGCTCTGTGTGCCCACCACCCAAAGTCATATCTTCTCCTGTCACCATATATTAGGCCCCCTTCACCTCCCACCCCCTTCCCTCTGGCAACCACCAAACTGCTGTTTGTGTCCACGAGTTTCAGTTTTATATCCTACACATGAGTGAAATCATATGGTTCTTGGCTTTTTCTGCCTGATTTATTTCACTTAGCATAATATTCTCAAGGTCCATCCATGTTGTCGCAAATGTCAGTATTTCATCTTTTCTTATGGCTGAGGAGTATTCCATAGTGTACATGTATCACATCTTCCTTATCCAGTCCTCTATCGCAGGACACTTTGGTTGTCTCCATGTCTTGGCTACCGTGAATAATGCTGCAGTGAACATAGGGGTGCATATATCTTTGTGAATACACATTTTCAGGTTTTCCGGGTATATACCCAGGAGAGGGATCGCTGGGTGAGTCATATGGTAGCTCTATTCTTAATTTTTTGAGGAATCGCCAGACTGCTTTCCATAGTGGTTAAGTTGTTTTTTAAATAAATGTAATATGGAAGAGAATATTTTGTACATCTTTAACTCAAGTTCAAATAAAATATCCTATTATTCTTGATAGAATTACGTACATCCCTGGAAGAGCATCAGTCTGCCTTGGAACTTATAATGAGCAAGTATCGTGAGCAAATGTTTAGATTGCTAATGGCTAGCAAAAAAGATGATCCGGGTATAATAATGAAGTTAAAAGAGCAGCACTCCAAGGTAATCCATTCTAGAAATATAATTGGAAATAGAAAAGAAGGACAGTTGGTTAACTTGTGATCAGAATTTTTTTTTAATCACTTGATAAATATGGAACATGCTGTTGAATACTTCATCCTTTTGACATTTTGTACTTTTCCTTATTTTTTTCATTTCTTGTTATATATCATTTTGTTTGATTTACTCTTCTCCCATTGTTCCTAGTAGCTTTAATATATATTAAAAAGTAAACTTTATTTGGGAAATAAAGGTAAGTATTCAATTCAAATTTATTTTTATAAGGTTATCTGCTTTTAAGAAATATGTCTTTTAATAGATTTGTATTGATATCTGTTGCAGAACAAAAATTGAAATGCTGAAAACTTTTTTAAAACTTTGAATACTGATAAAGGTTGATTTCTTTTTCTTAAAACTATTTTCTGAATAAGGCTGATTCATCCAAACTCTAATCTTGATTATAATGCGAAAAAATACATGGGGTCAGGGAGAGGAAAAGAACCAACATACTAAAATTTTGCTCCCCTCCCCCCAAATCACATATCAGGAATATCATTTTTACAGACTGCTCAGTTGGTAAAAATTACTGTTTTTCCTTCTGTTCATTGTATTTGTCATCCCTGTGTCTATTCCCTTTGTGTATGTCGCTGTGTTTGCTAACAACTGCTATGAAAACAAGTAGAATAATCTTTACCACTTACCTCTTATTGTAAACTGAATTTTAACTGCAGATATGAAATAAAAATATTAGAATAGATTGTGATTATGAGACCATTATCTATAATGGATAATGGTGAGCTAACTCTCAGTAGTTATAACTAATATTATTTAAGAAATATTGTTATAAGATATTTTTATCTTTCTCAATTATTGAAACACATTTTAGATTCTTTAAAATGTTTCTTCCATCTTGGGGCTTGTAAGTATTTTTAAGTTATTAATTATTAATTCTATTAAAATTAAATACCTGGCAAATAGATCTTTGTGTGACTTTACATATTGAGGAACTTAGTAATAGATACCTCTTGTGTCAAATAGTAAAGTAGTAAATTAATTAATTTGGGTTTAATGTTAGCTAATTATGCTATATTCATCTCCTAACCAAAAGGAAAACATTGGTTATTTAAGTAGCAATTTTTTGAATATAAAATGTATCTATTGTTGAGATTATTATAAAAATGTTTATATTTAAATGTGTAACTTGAGAGTTTTTTTAAAGGTACAAAAATGAATTGATGTAAATTTATTGGTAAAAAAAATTTAATCTTGAGAAATTCCAGAAATAAATTTTTTAAGATCTACCGAGAAGAATCCTCTGACCAAAAAAGAGTTTAAAATAAGATACTGCAGCTTGCTAGTCCCGTCTGGTAGTAGCTATGACAGAAGCGAATGTTTTCTAAAACACAGATTTTACCATTCACCAGAGCTGTTTTATTAATTAGCAAAGTGAAACATTTCTTAAGATAGCTGTAAGCTATCTTTTTTCATTATGTAAATTAAATTTATCATCATATGTACCAATCCTTGCCTTCCATAAAATGACTATTCGGTTACTTGTTATTAATTCTAACTAATATACATTAATGTTTGTGATTTTGATTTTTCCCAAAAAGGAGACACTTTGACTCAATTAAACATACATCTATTAACACTTGCACTCGTTTAGTTATTATTAATGATAAGATGAATGAATAAACAAGTTACATTATTCTATCATAGGAGCTTACAGTGTAGTGGGAGGTACAGATACAAACATAATTGCCTGATCTAAGATAGGATGTGATGAATCCTAAAACAGAGATATGAATTATTGCTGGAATACTAGAGGAAGCAAGATTAAGTTCTCATGAAGAACATCTGGGAAGGTATAAGGAAAGGAAGAAATATACCTAAATTCAGTTTTGAATTAATTAGTGGGGGTTGGGTGTCAGCAAGCAGAAGTAAGTGGGTGAGCAGAGAAACTGGTGTGATAAAGGTGCAGAAATAGGAGATTCTAGGATGTGTTTAGGTACTAGTGCTCTGACATGCCTATACACAAAAATAACTTTATAACACATTTAGGGGTAACAAACAGTTACACATAACAGCATTGTGGAGTAAGAGACCCTTTGGGGACTACTGTAATATAGAATTTTGCCCTTAACCTAAAAGTTTTTGAGCACACACTTAAAAATCAAAATGAGAACTCATTTTCATCCACATACTCATTTTTTTTTCATCATTTTTGAACAGATGCCTTTTTGGAAATCTTAAAAAAGCAAACATTTCAAACAGTTGGCTAACACGCATGAACTAACACTCATTCAGTTTTTAAATTACGGATAATATCCGTATTAACATTATAATGACTCTGTACTACAGATTGACATGGTACATCGTAACAACTCCGAAGGATTCTTCCTTGATGCATCTCGTCACATCCTTGAAGCACCTCAACATGGACTGGAGAGGAGGCACTTGGAAGCAAATCACAATGTACACTAAATAAAGCAGTCAATTTTGGGGGTGCGGGTGGAAGGGGGGTCCATTTAAAGTGTTCCTTTACATTGAATTTTCCTGCCAGATTAAATCAGCAAATAAATTAAGTTTTAAAATCCTGTGCTTTTGATAGCCATGCAAAAATATTCAGTGTAGAAACTTTAAATCTGTCATTCATTCTCTGTATATTGTGTCATACACACCCTGTTAGATAATGGCAGGCCTTAAAGGTTGTTCAGGCCTGCTTTTCACTTTGTGGTTCTTCTTAGCTGTTGCTGCAGATTTAGTAAACTTAACAGTTATTCTCTTTCTGGACATCAAAGGTGTGTTCTTGGCAGTAATTTGAAACTGATTTCATAAAAATTTTGTTCAGTCAAGTTATTAAATGAACTGTTTTAATTCAGATTTTTGACAGTTTGTAGCCCTTTAGTTTGAGTTTATAATAAAATTAAAATGCCTCTGTTTAGGTATTCTTAAGTGTAGTAGTATACTCTCCATTGTGTCTTAATTTTCTTTTTTTTTTTTTAACCTTACTTGTGGCTGGTCTTTATTGAGCAAAGTTGAAATAAACCTAAACAAAAATTACAAGTGAAAGGCATGTCAAGACAGTTCAAGGATCACTTTGCTGACACTTCTTGCCTTTTTAGACAGTTTATTTATTTATTTATTTTTAAATCCTCACCTGGGGATATGTTTTTATTGATTTTAGAGAGCGGGGGTAGGGGAGGGAAACATGGATATGAGAGGGAAACATTGATTGGTTGTCTCCATACTCACTCCAACTGGGGGTCAAACCCACAACCTAGGTATGTGCCCTGACTAGGAATCGAACCCGCAATCTTTTGGTGTATGGGACGGCGCTCCAGTGACCCAAGGCACCCGGCCAGGGCTTTAAGACAGTTTTGAAAGCACAAGTCTTAGCCTCTTGTGCCCAGTAAAAGATCTATGGTACTTCTCCAAAGATTTTATTGAAATAAGTGAATCATCCATGAACTGGGCCTATAAAAATACTGTTCTGATTGAAAAATTGGGGTTTTTTTCCTCATGATTTTACTAGAATAGACCCTGTCCTGAAAAAAATGGTGGTATCTTGTTTTCTTCCACTTTAAAGGCAAAGAATTATTTGTTTCACTTGTAGCTTTTTAACCTAGGTCAGTCCCATAGGATACCAAGTTATAAACTGAGAAAGCTGTTCGTATTCAAAATTTTTACTCATTACCCTTCTTCAACTTGCTGCTGCAGATATCTGTACCTAACTTAGTTGTAAACATTTGCTCCCTTTATATTAGGAAGGATTTTAGTCATTTTTCAGAATATGACTGATGTTTGTCTTGATATCGTACTTGCTACCATAATCTAATTCAGGGTTGTCCAACAGAACTTTCTGAAATGATGGAAATGTTCTTTATCTGCACTGTTCAATATGGGAGCTTCCTGCCACTTGTGGCTTTTGAGCACTTAAGTGTCACTAGTGCAACTGAGGGACTGAATTGCTAATTTTTTAAAATGTATTTGATTTTAATTAATGTAAATTTAAATAGCACCATATTGGACTGTGTCAAATCTTTATTTTGCCTTTTCTGTGTACTAGCATTGTATAGGTTTCCCCATTAAAATAACCTAAGGACCTGCATTTTTGTTGGTTAAGAATGTATTAACTGTATGTTGCTAAAGATATACCTATTGTCCATCTTATTTTTTCCATAGTTTAGTAGTTCTGTAGGTTTGGGGGGGTCCTGTTCAAATCCTTTCTACAAATAGGAAATACACAACTATTTAAGAGACTTAATGTTTATTTGGGAAGTTATTAACTTTTATATTTAACTTTTGGCATTAATATAGTAAAATAACCCTCCATTGCCAGTGAACAATGGTAAAAGCTTTTCATTTCTCAAGTTTATGCTGATTTTAAATGTTTTGTCTGTATCTTTCACTTGACTGTAAGCTCCTTGAAATAAGGGAACATGTCTTAACAGAACTTGTATTTCTGTTACCCAGTATAGTGCCTGGCACATTGTAGGTATGCAAAAAAGAAAAAAAGCAATTGGAAGAAACTTTTACTTGTTGCACCAAAAATATGTAGATGTCTATTTCATACTGAAATTTTATTTTGAACAGTTTGCAAAGAAGGCCATTTGATATTTTAATACTTAGGAGCAGAACTATATTCTTCTTAGTATTTATTCTCTATTATATACTGAACACTAATTGGCAAATATAAACAAGATACGATGTCTGCTGTCAAAGATTGTAATCTAGAAAGGTTCTATATTAGATTGAGATCAATTTTTAGGCATGGGTAATACAGAAAAGATTTATAAATCATGAAAACTGGGGAAAAGAGATTGAATGTGTCAGAAATTTTTATGTTTTCTATTACTTTGATCTATAGTATAGGTAGGTGCAAAAAAGGAAAAATTGCTGATCATTTGTAGTGAGAGGAATGCAGAATATGAGTCCCCTTCTTACGAGTGGGTTTAGTTAAATTATGCCGCTTATTCTTAATTTTAGTCATAAAAGAAATCTGATTTTATTTTATTTTATTTTTTTCTGGTAATCAATGACATTTTACTATACTTCATATTTCTTTGATTAGTAGTAAAGTTGAAATTCTCTTTATTTATTTACTTTTATTATTATTATTTTTTTAATAATTTTTATTTTTGTTTAAAGTATTACAGATGTCCCTTTTTAAGCACGATCATGGTCAGTCAGCTGTCTTGTAAATATCTGTCTGATATATTACATTCATGTTAAATGGCAGTGTATGAATATTATATTCATATTAAATGGCAATGCTGATTTTATAAAAAGGAGAGGATCCAAAAATAAAAATAATACAGTATTTCACTAATTTGCAACGCCCATCTCTTTTTTCAGGAATTACAAGCACATGTTGACCAGATAACTGAAATGGCAGCAGTAATGAGGAGAGCCATTGAAATTGATGAGCAACAGGGATGTAAGGAGCAGGAAAGAATATTTCAGCTTGAAGTAAGTTTTAAATTGTAAATGTGGGTGAAATTGCTCATTCAAACATTTATGCCAGAAAATATACCCCATGAGTTACTGTCCTTTATTTTATGTCGTGAGAGCATAAATCATTGTTGAACAATTAAAATCAGTAGAATGGGATTTCATATTTTAAAAGCTTCATTTTGAAGTCATGGTGGAGAATTGGTTCTAGAGGGCCACAGTTTCTCCTCTCCCTAAGCATACAAGTTTCTCTCATTCTTCATAACAGAGGTAAGCAAACTTTTTCTGTCAAGGGCCAGATAGTAAATCTGTAGGTTTTACAAACCAGTCTCTGTTGGAGCCACTTAGCTCTGCCATTGTGATGCAAAATTTACAAAAAAATTAATGTACAATTCAGGCCTCAAGCCAGGCTATAGTTTGCTGATCCCTGCCTTATACCATTGAACTTAGAAAGTAAAACCAAAGACAAAGTGGTAGAGAATAAATTGTGAAAGTTATTTTTAAATGCCTGCACATTTCTTACAGTAACCAGACAAAAAGGCAAAGTTGTTTACCAGTGTTAGATTTGGTCACTTTCCTTCTTGAAAAACATCACAATTGACTCTGTCAAATTCCAGTAAGGAAAGCAAAGCAGATGGCTTGTCTTGTATTCCATGCTATTGGGGGAGGTAATAGAAGTACTAAAGTACTAAGTGGTTCTAGTCGCAGGGTGTTAGTCACAAACTTTCTGAGTGTACACAAATATAAATCTAGATGTTACTTTCTTCATCTATACTGTGATTGTAAATAAGGCTATTTCTAAGGTTCCATCTACAATTACAGCTGCATAAATAAGAAGACTTTTCAGGGGTCGAAGACGTTGACCACATGATTCCGACCTCTTAAAAAAGTGTTCTGGATTCAAGTTGTCATCTTCAACTGCACATATCATTTAGTGCATTTCTGTAATCTACAGAACTTGGTTCTTATTTGCCATATGTTTATGCTCTTGTGGCTAGCTAATTTGGTGACTGCATCTTTCTTTTTGTTTGTCTTCTTTTAGCAAGAAAACAAAGGATTGAGAGAGATCCTTCAAATAACCCGAGAATCATTTTTGAACCTTAGAAAAGATGACTTATCAGAAAGCACATCTTTGTCAGCATTAGTGACCAATAGTGACCTGAGTCTGAGGAAGAGCTGAAGAGTCTGAGCTTCTTATAAGGCTCCAAATGATCCCTGGGACTGGCCTACTGAAGTAAATGAATTAACAGGAAAATCAATCTCAAGCTACATTTTTTTTTCCTCTATGATATGTACAGTGCACTGGCAATGACATTTTTAAGAGAGAACAAAAGAAAAATGCATAGTTCATGGTCAGAGACTTTATTCCAAAAAATAATTGAAAAGTAGAAACTAAGACTTTGTTAATTGCTGAACAAATTGAAGATTTTCCCAATGACTGCTGAACATATCAAGAGCTTTCAGTCATGCCGTTGGCTTTCTGGGTGATACTTGGATAAACAGGAATATTCCCATTTAATGTTTGGGAATTCATGAAGTTATCCCAATTTTAAAATGCAGATTTTGCCAGTTTGGTGAATGGAAGATCATCATACTATATTTTATCTTCCCTGTTTGGTGTCAGAGTTAACAAATAGCTTGTGTACCATGAGACTTCAGCTTTAATGATTGCCTATCTACCTTCCCATTAATTTAAATTTTTGTCAAAGAAAATTCAGTCTGAAAGGCTGTAGGAATGTTTTAGATAAACCATAAACAAAAGAGGTAATTTAATTTTAGCTAACTTACCATAATTACTACTCAGCAAACAATTGTTAATAATTCTAAGCATATGAAATAGCGTTTCAGGAATGAAAAAGAAGGAATACTACTTTCTAAGAAAGATCTTATAAGACACATATTTAGTAGGTTAAACTACTCCCTTGAAAGAATAAGTTTTGGTTTTAAATCAGTAATAAAGATGAGATTTTTTCTCTTCTCTCGTTGATTTTTAAGGATATTTTGTAGCTCATTTAGCTAACAAAGTTAAATGTTTGATAAAGGAAGCCAGGTATGGTTATTTCAAAGTAAACTGGGAAATCCTCTGCCTCATAGAGCCCTTTTTTAAAAGTATTAAGAGAGAGAGAGAAAGTAAATTAAAATTAAAAAAGTATTTTTTGGATCTGTTCTTAAGTACCATGTGGTCCTCATAACCGATAAGATTTTTCTTATAACCTTTCAGTTAAACAGGGACAAAAAATATCAATGGAGTTAGAAGTATTTGTTTTATTTTTTTATAAAATATATATCCAGTTATGTAAGTTTTTAAAAGCCACCAGAAATAGAAATATGCTTTAACATCAATTGAAATCTAAATTTTTCTTATTTTGTGGTGATTATAGAATAAAAGGATAAAAGAAGAGTGTCAGATATGATTAAATATATTATGCTCATTTATATTAAATATTAACATTAGCACAATAGAAAATTTACTTTTGAGTATAAATTTGTTAAATATTTACATGGTAATTTTTATGTATAATTCATATATTGGTAAAATTAAAAACTACTTTTCAGAATTTTTCTATTAAGTTTGGGGTAAGTAGGGTCGATGGGGCTGATTGAATAGAAAAGGGCTATTGACCCAGACATTAAATTGATTTTTGTTCTCATTCAGTGGCCTTAATGTTTTATAATAAGTGACCATTTTTTTTAACTTTTCTATTCATTTTTGGGAAAGTATCCCTTAATTTGATGGCACATTCATTCATTCATACAGTTTTTATCCCAAGTTAGAATTAAAGAAAATAAGCTACACAGTTGAAATTAAGACTGAGGCAGTTCATTGAGGCAGCTCTATCATAAAACATTATTTGATAAATAATTATTTTTGTAAACAAATACGTTGAGTTAATTTATTCTTAGTCTTCTTACTTGGATATAATTTTAAGATATTGGTGTTTAAAAACATTTACTTTGTTATATAAAAACAGTTTTCCATCCCATACTTATTTGTTAAGCAGAACCTTAACTCTATGTCAGAAGGTATGTAGTGCATAGGAACCTATTTTATCAATAAAGATGAGTGATTAAAATTGGTGTGCTCTCCAAGTTAACTTGAAAATAATTCTTACTTATATCTATTTTTAGGGCTTTTTATCTCTTCTTACCACAAAACTAGTACTTAGCAACAACATATATCTATATATTTTAGGAATTGGCGAGCACGTTATTGTTGATCCTGCAAACCTTTGTATCTTCTGTAGTGGGTTTAAGAGTGTCCCTCCACCCCCAAGGTATATCGAGGTTCTAACCTACTGTAGCTATAAATGTAACCATATTCGCAAATAGTCTTTGCAAATTTAAGGATCTCAGGATTAGATCATCCTGGGTTTAGGATGGGCCTTAAATACAATGACTGATGTCCTTATAAGAGAGGAGATTTGAAACACAGAGAGGGACACAAGGAGAAAGCCATGTGAAGACATGCAGAGAGTTAGGTAAACCAAGGAACCCTAGGGATTATGAGGTGCCACCAGAAGCTAAGAGAGAGGCATGGGGTGAATTCCCCCTCAGAGCCTCCAGAAGGGAGGCTGATTGATTCCAGACTTCTGGCCTTGATTTTCAGAACTGTGAGAGAATGTTTGTTAAGCTACCCAGCCTATGATAATTACAGCAGCCCTAGGAAACAAATACATCTATCATCATCTACCCACTGCATTTTTTTTTTATCTTATGTAGGGAATGCACCTCTAAAAAACCAATTATATACAACCTCAAAGATAAAATGTTTTCTGATCAAATTGATATTCTTTAATGTTTAATAACAAGGTGACTTCCCAAATTTTGTACTTCTAAACTGCCTCAGTGATGAATGGAATATGATAAGTCCAGAACTTAATTTTTGGTGACCACTATCTTTTTTGGCTGTCAGAGAAGAATAATTTCTAATTGAAATTTGAAGGGACATTTTTTTTTTTTACCTCATTGGCTGCCCCTCAGTTTCTTTTGTTCCTTTTTCTCTCTTTACCATTAGAGAGCCCCAGGGCTCCATTCTTATTCCTGTTATGTATCTGTACTCATTTCCTTGGTGATCTCACCTCTCATGACTTTAAATATCACCTGTATTCTTGATGACTCCCAAACTTACAGCTCTCATTAGATCTTTCATTAACTCCAGACTCACCCAACTGTGACTGTCAGAGAGATAACTCACACTTAAGATGTCCAAAGCTGAACTCCCAATCTTACTCCCAGACCTCTCCATATTCTTCCCCTTCTCAGTTGATAACTACATCTTACCAGCTGCTCAGGCCAAAAACCTTCATGGCATCTTTGACTCCACTTCCTCTTATATCTTGCACCCAGTTCATCAGCAAGTCCTATTGACTCTCCCTTTAAATATATCAGAATCCTACCATTTCTCATCATCCCCACTGCTTCCCCTGGTTAAAGCCACTTATGACAGTGTTAGAGTGAACACTCTGGATCTGGATTCAACCTAAATATCCTATAATAGGGAAATAATAAATTTAACTAATTTAAATTTAATTAATCTAAAAGTAAAGTATGCAGTTTAGCTGGGCTGGGCGTGGCTCAGCAGTTGAGCCTCGGCCTAGAATCCAGGAGATCGCGATTTGATTCCCAGTCAGGGCACATGCCCAGGTTGCAGGCTTGATCCCCAGTTGGCGGTGTGCAGGAGGCAGCTGATAAATGACTCTCATCATTGATGTTTCTACCTGTCTCTCTCCCTCTCCCTTCCTCTCTCTGAAATCAATAAAGATATATATATATTTTAAAAGTTTATTATATACTATGGCTTGAAGATTCTAGCAACAGGAAAAAAGTATGTACCTAAATATACCTAAATTTGAATAATAAAAAGCTTAATACTAAATTGCACTTATAATTACAACTATGTAAAAATCAAAAGCATAGGGTGAAATGTTCAGAAGCAACATCAGTATACAGTTGACTTGAACAACATTGGTGTGAACTGTGCAGGTCCACTTATACATGGGTTTTTGTCAGCAATTACCCCTCCTGTTGCTGATCCATGGTTGGGAGCCCAGGGATGTGGAAAGTCCACTGTATGTGTTGATCTACACCATTTTTTAAAAAATTTATCTTTATTGTTGAAAATATAAGTGTCCTATTTTTCCCCCATCAACTCCCTCCACCCATCTCCCACCCCTTCCCCAGGACTTCACCCCATTATTGTCTGTGTGTATGGGTTATGCATATATGTGTATAAGTTCTTTGGTTAATCTCTTCCCACCCCCACCCCTTTCCTCTTCCTTCAGAGATACAACAGTCTGTTGCATGCTTCAGTGTCTCTGGGTCTACTTTTTTTTGTCAGTTTCTGTTGTTTATTGGCTTCTTCAAATGTTGAAGACCTTTCAACATTTCATGTAATACTGGTTTGGTGGTGATGAACTCCTTTAGCTTTTTCTTATCTGTGAAGCTCTTTATCTGACCTTCAATTCTTAATGATAGCTTTGCTGGGTAGAGTAATCTTGATTGCAGTTCCATGTGTTTCATCACTTCGAATATTTCTTCCCACTCCCTTCTGGCCTGCAAAGTTTCTGTTCAGAAATCAGCTGACAGTCATGTGGGAGCTCCCTTGTAAGTAACTTAACTACTTTTCTCTTGCTGCTTTTAAGATTCTTTCT